TAAGTAGCGGGTGGCGCTGTGGATAAAAGCCTCAGCGCCTAGGACTTGCTGATCGAAAGGTTGGCGGTTCAAATCCCCGCGGCGGGGTGCGCTCCCGTCGCTCGGTCCCAGCGCCTGCCAACCTAGCAGTTCGAAAGCACCCCCGGGTGCAAGTAGATAAATAGGGACCGCTTACTGGCGGGAAGGTAAACGGGGTTTCTGTGTGCTGCTCTGGTGCCGGCCTCTAGAGTGAGATGAGCACACAACCCTAGAGTCTGTCAAGACTGGCCCGTACGGGCAGGGGTACCTTTACTTTACTGAGTTATTATAGATCATTTCTCTTACGAAGTAAGCTAATTCCACAATATCACACACAGCCTGAAAAGAAGGAAGGAAGGAAAGATATTCAGCAAGCTAAATTTATGCTGAATCAGCTTTGCTTGATTCTGGTGCAAATATGAGGAGTTCAGTCTGCGGAGATGAAGAACACAGAATATATTACCACCTGCAAAGTTTGCAGAGGAAGAAGAATCAAATCACTGTTGGTTTCCTCCACTTGCCTCGAGACAGCTTTACTGGAAAACACGTGAAGCAGGCTGTGGTTGGCAATGTCTCCCCTAACTACACATAGCCAGGGATCTGCACCCACACAAGCCATAAAAGAGCCATAGAAGCCAGGAGAGCAATAAAGTAGTGAAAGCTGTCCTGAAACAAATGGAAATTACACAACAAGAAAGGTTTGGGAGGGCAGAGATTTCCAGTGGATTCCACCCAGCTTATTTATACAGTGATAACTCGGGTTATATACGCTTCAGGTTACAGACTCCGCTAACCCAGAAATATTACCTCTGGTTAAGAACTTTGCATCAGGATGAGAACAGAAATTGTGCTCCAGCGGCGCGGCAGCAACAGGAGGCCCCATTAGCTAAAGTGGTGCTTCAGGTTAAGAACAGTTTCAGGTTAAGAACGGACCTCCAGAACGAATTAAGTACTTAACCCGTGGTACCACTGTATTTATATTTGGTTTTAGGCAAGTAACAAGAGCTAGCTCCAAAAGAGATGCTTCCATGTATTTTCTTTCCATAAGCTAAAAATAAGGGATATGTTAATTTGCATGGGCAGGGTTCAACTAAGTTGTTCTGCGTGAAGAACAAGGTCTGCTTGCATGATAGGACTTTTCCCTCTTCTCCTCCCCCAATAGTTCTTCCTGCACTCCCTAAATCTGGCCTGGAAGGCTGGAGGAACCCCCAGAACAGATTTGGGGGCACACAGAGAAAGACCCATTACACAAGCAGATCTTGTTCCCTGCACTCATATCCCACTTATCATGCTACATTGAATTCCACCCTATAAAAATATATTCTCAAATTCATCATTGTGCGCTTTAAAAATGAAAGCAAAGCTGTACCAATGAGTTCTAGTTACAACCCATTTTTAAAAACAAACTAATTGAGCAAGGTTTTTTATTTTATATTTAGTGATTCTAAAGCTACTTAGTGATAGAACTTTTAAGTATCCAAGGGCAAAACCAAATGCAATTAATAATATCACTGCTGCATCCAGAACTACAAAGCATAAATAGCAAAACATAACGACACCTACAAACACTGTAATTATTGTTTGGCTAATTGCTCAGTAATTCAAGTAAAAATTATCTAGCAGAGTACTGAAGTAAGCCTATTAGAATAATCATTCGTTAGAACAAAGCCCTATAACCATTTCCCCGACAACATAAATATTACACCCACATACAAATATCTATTGCCATTTTGTTGTGGTTGATAGACCAGAAGTAGAAATGAACAGTAATGAAATTCATTACTAAAGTTTCCTAGTCCAGCTCTGATGTAACTCTGAAAACTGGGTATGGGTGTACTGACAATTCAAAACAATCATTTCAGAATGGGGGGCAAATTCTCATTGCAGAATAAAGAGAAGTAGTTATCAAATAACCAGTAAAGATCAAATAACCAGACAGATTTCCTTTTGCTTTATCAACTGATAGTTGGGGGGTTTTTTTTAACTCTTCTTCTTAAAGAAATCTTATAGGAATGTTTATATTTTTAAAGACAAGAAAAGCAAAGCACTTCTTTAGACAACACGCAATTAATATTGCCACAGAATGTTCCAATGACAACAACCATACAATAAAAAACATAAAAATGTTAAAATCAGAATTCAGCTAACAATTACGGATGCCAGGGGATTGTTCCTGGGACCTTGCCCTACACACTCACAAACCTGTTATGATAGAAGCACCAATCCCTTACAATCCCTTACAACAGTCTCAGAGTTCAAGTACTTCTCACACCTCTGAACATAATCTGTCTTTGACAGTCACCTTCTCTCAGCCATCCCTACCTTCTCAAAGTTAATGTGAGACTCAAATGTCGCTTTGTGGTCCAGAGGTAAAGGAGGGAGGATACAAGGGTAACAAAACCAAAGGTTGTTGAAGAAGCTGCCCACAAATGTTTTAGAAATGTAGCTTTCAACTCCTTTAATAAAATGCTTTCCACACTGACTTTGTCCACTGAAGAGTCCACCTATCTGTCGAGGACTCTCTGGTATATTCTGTGGTGCACACTCAGTTCACTGGGGTCCACAGCTGCACACCACCAGGAACTCCAGTAATGGGCAGACAAGCTGAAAGCTTTGTCTGCCATTACTGATCTTCTAATTAAACCAGTTTCCTTGGAACACATTTTGAAAATCTTAGCATGGAGGCAGAAGGTTGCCATTATTCAGGGGAATTCATATGGAAGGTTGCCATAGATTCATATTACAAGACTGTTAGGTAATTCATATTGCAAGGAGAAAATTACCACAAATTGCCCTGAAGGCCAGATACCTCTGGAGTTGAGGTCAGATATATAGGCATCCTCTCCCCCACCCACGCCAGTGCATCTAGGACAAAGGAAGAGCAAATGTCTCAACCAAAGCCAATATGATCCTGTAAGTGATAAGGAAAGGAACTCTTGTTAAGCGAAGGTTCTCTCTCTCTCTCTCTCTCTCTCTCTCTCCCTCCCCATAATGCAGCAAGAAGAGCAGGAAATGAACACAGCAGGCAACGACTGAGCATCTCTGGATGGAATACATAAATTTTGCTCTTGTCTGCAGAGATTGCAGCTTGGCATGCTTTTAACTCAGGACTGCAAAAATGCATGAAAACACAAGCTGGGTTGGCAGAGGGGGTAGGAATTCCTCCACCTCTGTAATTCTCTCAGCAATTTCTTGCCACCTGTCAATCAGTCAAAGGCATCAGGAGGGAGCATGTGAGCATGCCCAGTGATCCAGATGACATCAGCTTGATCAATGCTGGGGATTGGAAGGCTGCAGCAGCAAGGAGAGAAGGGAGGCAGCTGGAAGAGTCAATTGGGGTTGACTCTGTTCAGTTCCCCACCATTGCCCTCTGCTGCGGCTCCGAAAACAAGGAACTCAGCCAAGCAGTACCTTACATGGCAGGTTTTCCCCTGCAGAAAGCATCCAAAAAGAGTTGAAGGAGGATGTTTTGTTGCAGGGCACTAACATTTGGCAGATGTAGGAATTAAATGTAGTATCTTGCCTATAGGAGCAAAGGACGATAAGACAAGAAACGGGCACTTCAACAAAGCTAGACAAGGGAGTGAAACATTAGAGAAATAAATAAATAAATAAATGCTTGCATTTCATGCTTTTTCTGCACCACCATTCGCAGTTACTTTCTCTAGACCTATTTATGCCTATCTGTCAGCTGAAGGCAACCATGCCATGCATCTGCCAACGTGGGCTCTCAGCCCACAAAAGGCTCACGCCGCAATAAATGTCAGGCTTTCGAAAAGGTTGCCGCAAAACACTTGGCTGTGCCTTTCTCCTTATGCTCACGCACATGAGATGGCTTAAAATGTTGCATCCTCCAAAGGGGGGGGGGAATGCTACCACCAAACACCTATATTTCGTGACCCCCCCAACAAAACCTACCCACACCCTTTCCCACAGCTTTTGGGTATCTATTCCAGCTAAAGAGAAGAGGAAGAGGCATTCTCCTTTGGGACCCCCCAGCTGATCTCCAAGTCTGAGGAGTAAGGGAGGAAGACACCCAGGCGGGGCGCGACCTTCCCTCCCACGGCAAGTGACTGGAAGGGGTTTCCCAATCTCATCTCCGCACCCTCCTCCCGCACCAGGGTTTCGGAGCTCAAGGTGAAAGCCACCCAGCACACAGAAACGCGAGCGCACCGTCGCTCCAGAAGAGCAGCCAAGGTTGGGAACAATGGGCGGAGGAAGAAGGAGCACAACAATGCAGTGCGAAGGCACGCCAGGCAGGGGGCCCAGCAATGTTGCCGAGCGGGGGGAAATTGGCGGGTCTCCCTCTGCACGTTGCTGCAGGAGGCGAGGGAAGGTCCTGAGGCGAAGGGGGGAGGGAGGGGGGCAAGAGGAAGGCAACTCCCTCGCCCGCCACCCTCACCAAAACAACAACAACAAAAATGCCACGCCAAGCAAGGCAACGACGAGGAAGCTTACCCCGACCACGACCGTCTCCTCGCCTTTGAATTTGGGGATGAATTTGTCCCCGCGGAGGATCTCGGCTTCGTTGAGGGGCCGGAACCGGCACATCACTTTGATGCTGCATTCGGCTGGGTCCGCCATCTCGGCGCGGGGAGGAGGTGGCGGCGCCTTGACCTACGGCGCGTGGCGAGGACGGCCCGCTCTTTGCCCCCCTCCCCGGCTTCTCGTTTCTTTTTTGGGGGGAGGCGGGGGGGTGGTGTTCGAGCGGCAGGGGAAGGAGCCCAGCCCGGTCAGGAGAGGCGGCGGCGGCGGCAACGAGGCATGCCCGGTTGCCTCACACGACGGCGGGCGAGCGCCAGCAACTTAGGCAGGAGAATAAATAAAAGGGCGGGAATGGCCTGAGGTGAGGAGTGGGGTGGGGGGCGCCAGCCTCAGCCCCTCGAGGGTTTCTTCAGAGGGGGGCAGCCGGTGCCGCGAAAGAAAAACATCCAACTACAGGAATGCATATGGTCATTCGAAGCCTTTTTATAAAGAAAATAATGAAGCCGGGTCCTTTGCTCTCCACGCCGCCCCACTTCCTGCCCACTCAAACGCCGGAGCCGCTTGCTAGCTTTGCAAGCGCTGCTGCTGCTGCTGCTGCTGCCGCCACCATCCTGCATCGCCGCCAGCAAACCACCTTCTCTCTCTCTCTCTCTTCCCCCACCCTCAAGGGCTTTGTGACTTCACTGCATTACATCAACCCCTCCCAAAGCTCCCGGGCTGGAGGGGGGAGACGTTCCTGGCGCATCCTGGGAGTTGTAGTTCTTGTAACGACAGGTGGGGAGAGCGGGGGACCGGAGAGACGAGGCGAGAAGGAATGGGAGGAGAGGTGGTTTTCACTCTCCCCACCACCAACTTTCCCCCCGCCCCCTTCTCCTAACGTTTTGCCATATTTTGGCACCTGAAGGACTTCTAACAAATACAAATAGAAAATATATTTCCAATTAACAAAGCAGAATGGCACAATGTTAGCATGTATAAAGCCTGAAATCACCCGTCAGACTGAAAATCAGACGCCTCCTGCCTAAAAGAGAAGGTTGCAGTTCTTCCTCAAATCTCGTACACAGTCCCAATATCGGCATATAGTATATTAAGCATGCTAGTTTTAGAGTGCCTTGCTTGAAACAACTTGTGAAAGTAATATTATCTGCCAAGGATGATATTATTATTATTATTATTATTATTATTATTATTATTATTATTATTTTATTATTATTTGCTTTTTTCTAAAAAAATGTTTAGCAGTATTCTCATTTTTCTACTCATACTGAAATACTGCCCCTCAATGAGGCCAAACTTAGATTCACAAAAAGTTTAGGGGTATGCGTATCCCTGCATACCCCCAGAAAAAAAACACTGATGATGATTATTACCCCTTTCTTAGATCTTCCTGATGTTGCCTCTTCACATTTTAATTTACTTTTAATTTACTTAACTTAAAAATCCTGCTCTCCATCACTGGCTCATTGGGTGGCGTTGGGTATATTACTCTGGTAATCCTTTCAATCTTGCCAACAAAGGTCCGTATAGTTCAAGCCATGGTTTTCCCAGTAGTGATGTATGGAAGTGAGAGCTGGACCATAAAGAAGGCTGATCGCTGAAGAATTGATGCTTTTGAATTATGGTGTTGAGGGAGACTCTTGAGAGTCCCATGGACTGCAAGAAGATCAAACGTATCCATTCTTAAGGAAATCAGCCCTGAGTGCTCACTGGAAGGACAGATCGTGAAGCTGAGGCTCCAATACTTTGGCCACCTCATGAGAAGAGAAGACTTCCTGGAAAAGACCCTGATGTTGGGAAAGATGGAGGGCACAAGGAGAAGGGGACGACAGAGGACGAGATGGCTGGACAGTGTTCTCGAAGCTACAAATATGAGTCTGACCAAACTGCGGGAGGCAGTGGAAGACAGAGTGCCTGGCGTGCTCTGGTCCATGGGGTCACGAAGAGTCGGACACGACTAAACAACAAAAATCCTTTCAATCAGACAGGTACCCAACTATCCATGACTTCTCTGGAACTAAATATTACGAAATTTAAAATATGTATATTAATAATTAAATATTTGACTTGCCTCCTCACAAGTCTTTCCAATAGGGTTGCTTCCCTTTTGCTTTTCTCGCAGCTGCATGGATTCTTGCTTTGTCAGCAAAGCACTACTTCACTGCTACTTAGAAAAAGTTAATGGAACATGTTTCCAAGATAATGTTGCTTGCACCAGCTCAAGCGAATCATAATTTTATGGTGGTTCCAGGCTTCATTGAACATGTACTTAAAAAAAAATAGTGTTTGCTCACTGTCCTTTGCCTTATGTTGGTATTTCCCATTCATGTTACAGTGTTTAATGATCAGTGCACACCTATTATAGATCTGCCCCTCCTTTGTGAGGCCTATCTGAGCTTTAGTAGTAATTGATAGGCAATATTTATGCGAAGTATATTACTTGGTTCTGTTAGTGTAGACAAGGCTGCTACTTAGTGTTGCCTCTCCTCTGCTGTGTTCCCACTGCACTCAAGATTATTTCATTCTTATTCAGCCTTCCCACCAATGAGCTCAGAGAAGCATGCACCAAACTCATATTGTATACACTGTTCTTTATTATTGAATCAATGCAGTACATAAATTGTCATGTTGCCCCTGTGCAACAACTCATGCACCCAATCCTTTTGGATTTCACAGTGCACACCAGATTGATCTGACTAGCTGTTAACCCAAATACCTTCCAACAAATATTTGTTCCATTATGATCAATGAGACCCAAAAATGTGTTTAGATTTGGGGTGTTTTGTAAGACTTTATATTAAGCTGCCATCCTGAGCACAAAGCAGGAACCTAGCATGAAAAAATAGTTTCTATGGTTCTTGCTTTGTGCTCAGGATGCTAGCTTAATAAGGTATAGTAAGCTTCTTGAAAAAGTACCAAATGAATGGATGAATCGTCAGGCTATACATGCTTACATTGAACTTAGCAAGGTTTATTTCTGCGTATATCTGCATAAGTTCAAACTATAAATGTCTTACATCACTTTCAGCCATATATATGAGCTGTTCAGATAGTTATTTCCATTATCTATGGAGGATTCATATTTATATATCTGATCCTTTATTCTTAGGTCACCTCCTTATATTGTCCTTTCTGCAGCCTTGTTTTCATGAAGACGAGACTTTATACCTTTTCACTAATAATTCAAACATTGTACTTCATAATAATTCCCAGTATTCATCAGAGATCCTGGGTTTTAAAGCATTGGTTTGAAAGAATTGTCCTTTGAGCCAGAAGTTCTACTTGCAAGTTCTAGATGGGCAGACTATCTGTAGCTGCTAATTGCTGGAGGAAAGGCACTCCATATTCTTAGATTGGCGCCCTAATTTCCATCACCCCAAACTGCACAGAAAAACAATCTAGCCAATGGGTAGATTGGGAAATCTATTACACAGGAAAGTGTAAAGCTGAGTGCTTAAAGCTGAGTGCTGCCTAAAATATTTTAACTGTGACGAAGTAACCCGCCATATAAGCCTAAAGAGTAGATGTTTTAGGACCGCCAGAATGGGATAGACAGATTTTGAAAGCTATACAGTATTCCAGCTTACTTCTAAAGGACTATTGATATCTGGAAAAATATACTCAAATAGAACTTAGCCGTATCTATTCATTTACAATCTGAATTCATACATTGTATTCTAGAGAAATCTGAGACTTGAAACTAGGTCCTAGGGCTTCATTCCGGCTCAAACCAGGAATATTTTCTTCATTTGTTTAGCATCTTTGTCCGATATCTGCTACATATTATTAATGCAGGAAGTTTATTGAGAAAACAACAAACAACCTGTGCACCAGGCAACCATTGTAATGTTTTATAAAAACTATGTATCAAATCCCTGGGAAGAAGTTAGCTGTGGCTTCTTGCCAGATAGTGTTGCAAAACCATCACATGGTGATAATGCAGTGCAACAGTGTCAACATGAAAGTGTCATGTCTTGCGTAAAACGTTTTCTATGTAGACAAGTTTGTCATATGACAAGTGGTTGTTACTTCACAGATCACAGAGCTGTTTTGACCAGAATGAATAGTTTATAATATTAAATTACAGAATGTATTGTTGTTATTAGTATAGCTTGATTGCCACTAAAGGATGGCTATCAATATGAAAGGTGATTTGTAGATTGAGTACACATACATTGAGGCAGGCAAGTTGTCACAGTTCTTAACATAGTGGTAGTCAATGTTTTGTTTCTGCTCAAAGGCAAACAGTCAATCCATTACATTTTGACCTGGACCACACGTTCCTTAATAATTTATAAACATTAAAGAACGAAACACGGCATTCTGAGGGATTACTTTAAATAACCTCAATGTTTTCCGGTTCATTTGCTAATTGATCCCCAGAATATTGAATTGCATTCCTGACTTCACTCCCCTCTAGGTTTATTCTTCCCACTTGAGCTCACGGTTGGCCTTTTTACCTGCTGTATAAAATCAGTAGAAAGGTTTCAATGTGGCAATGACAGCATTCCACCTAATGGTGAATTTGGGTGATCAAGTGCCTAAAAGTTTGGAAGTAAAACAAAGGCTGCTCAAAAAGTGGCTATTACATATTCAGGGTCCTTCCTGAATATAAATTTGCAAATTAAAAGCCCTTTAGCGCTATGTAGCATGGTGGTACAAAGTTAGAGGTTTGCAACACAAACCAACATTTTGTAATCCACTAGACTAGTACTAGTACATGAACCCAAGTCACTCAGCTGTTGGCTCCACATCTTAGGTACTGCTGTGCTAATTTGGTAATTCTAACTGGCAAGTTTCCCTACTCAAACTCTGAACAGCTTGGGATATTTCTTCTCTTACAGTGGCAGCAGTCTTCTTGGTACTAATAAAAGGTATGAGCAGAGCCCCTCCTCAAATGTTGCAGAGTCCCACCCTTGGTGTGCACATGTTTCCTGACTCTGTGGAAGAAGTGGCTGAATAAAATGAAAGCATATTAACAGGAGTCTCTCTGCTATAATTGGGGTCTTAATTTTCTAAAAAGCACAACCTGTCTGCATGGAAGTAAGTAAGAGCATGAAACTTCTGCATACAGTTGAGTGCTTGGCCAGGGAGAACTGAGGGGCCAAATTTGAATGTCCTTTGCTGCAACATGAAAGCCATAGGGGTTGTTCAACGGGGAATCCAAACCACCCTTACTTTTTATCTCATGTATTAACAACTGACTAAATTGCAGGGCTGAGCTACTCACTCTCAGCACAGACCTTCAACCAGTAACAGGAATTGATTGAATTACACTGCAGGGTTGTTGCGTATCAGTCCAATCTGCAGCATAGACTGCAGATTACTGAACTCACCCAGTTAACTCCAACCTCAACTTAAGCACATGCAACAGAGATCTAATACTTCTGCACAACACTGCCCGATTGTTGCAAACAATGACCAACAACATATCAATGAGAACCCTTCCCAACTCCCAAATGCATCTGGCTTTGGAATTGGCATTAGTAGGATTATTATTTTTTAAAAGAAAAGTTTAATACATTTAAAATTTAGAAAAATAATCTTCCTTCATACCACCTTTTGTTGTTGTTGTTTTGGTGTGTGTGTGGTACAAACATATCTAATTAAAATACTGGATTTCTCCATCAATTTATGCTCTTGCATCCCTGGGAGCATCTAAAAATAGCTTGGTCAGTTAGAACTAGGAAATGAACAACCCAGGCAAGGAGTTTTCTTTGTACTCTTATCACTATGTAGGTCTTTTTCCATTCTTCCTTTTCAACTTCATTCAATTTCCCTTCCACCTGGTTGCCAATTTTTTTCATTCAGTTGCTCAGCACTCCATACCACTGAGTTGATGAGGGCTCCCCCGCCCCTTAGTTTTTGCCTGTTTTTTCTGTTTCTGCAAACCTCAATGTTCCCCTAATCTGCAGGTACCTGTGTACAGCTGCTGCCACGTTGTCTACATAACAGTTGGAATTCTCCCCTGAAGTTGCGAAATAGAGCGTATGATTTGAAAGTGATGCAAATCCTGCTACTAAACAGGATGGTTACCAGAAAAGCACCTTGAAGCTGTGCCATCATTTCTCCCTTTGCCCACAGAGTATTAACCAAAATTCCAGATATATTTGAATTATTGGTTCTTTCTTTAGCAGTGATTCTTCAGACTGATAAAATGAAGGAAAAGCAGACCTCAATATACCAGTTTTTCATGGCTTGAACTGCGGTTAGATGTTCAGTTTTATTTGGAAGATATGAGGAGCCACGTTCAGTACTTCTGTAGGCTCTTCAGGACAATTTATATTTTGCTAACAAACAATATCCTATACCCAATATCCAATATTTAGACTGGCTCAATAGTATGTATGGAGCCGTCAAGCATGGGTCACCTATTCATTAACTTCTTACCTTTTTTCACAAGCAAATCTTCACAAAAGCATGAGGAAGGATAACATATATGCTGAAAATTCTTCTGAGAAAAAGCCATTCAAATCCTTTTCTTTCCTTCTCTGCAATGTTTTAAAAACTCCAGGAGTTTATTAGTTGCCAAGAGGGGGAATGTCCTCTGGCTCTCTCCTACTTTTAGACAATCTGAAAACTCTGGCAGCAAAGAAGCAAAGAGGCTCAATGCATTTTACTTTAGAACAGATAACGATTCTTTATATAATAACTGATGGAAGTATATTAATAACATGGTATACACACATGATTTATACTTTTTTTTTAAAAAAAAAGAGGCACAACATAAAACCATGTAATATAATATAATAAAACCTAAAGGCAGCCTAATTCAGATGTCACTTGTTACTTTAAATATGTTCAGTCTCACTTCAAAAATATAAATTCAGAAACAATTAAAATTAGAGAAGCATTTTGTCGTTTTCTTTGCCACATACATAATTCGAGTAGTAAATTTCTATTTAGATGATTCTGCAAAAGCAGGTGCAGCATAAGTTACAGCTATGAGGTAGGGATTACTTGTGCAATATGCACTAATGTACATCGATACAAATGAAGGAAAACTTGCCCCTTTAAACAGATTCAAGCCCCAATGAAGAGATTGGCACATGCTGCCGTGTGTTGCCCACACAGTTCTGCACATGCCCAGTGTTTACCACAGTCTACCAAGTTGACTTTTACAGCACTATTTGTTCAATGATGTCTACACGGTACCAGTCCAATGTTGGGATTCACACGTGCAGCCTCGAGTGCTGGATACAGAGATCCAGCTCCATGCAGCAACCTTCTGCACATGCACTCCATGATCCAACCAGTCATGCGCCTCGAGAAGCTTCTATGTGTTGCTGGATGGAGGTGCAAGTGTACATGCTCAACCTCGGAATATGATATGCAAACTGTTCTCCGCATTGTGAAATAAATACGTATGCAAGGTGCCCATGTTTTGATATGTATTTTTATTTCCCTGCAGTTTTCACTTATCAAGAACAAGTAACAGGGAAAGTTGTCTGAACTAGTGCATAAACAAACATTCTGAAACACCACTACACGTATCTAATTTACAAGAACCGTATAAAAAAAGTCACTAAAACACTACACTACGAAGGTGTCCAACGCTTACAGTCAGACTTTTTCCAACCCGTTACTTGCCTTGTAGCCACAGGAAAACTCTCCAAAACTGAAAGACAATCTGCCACAACCCTCCCCCCTCCCCCATCACCTGGGATGGCTCGATATCTAGACATCCAATAATTATTGCAATGATATATAATGCAATACATACCTGGTAAAATATCATTTATGTGGTGTGTTACAGTTAAAAGCCGGTTAAATTATGCAGACTTCAGATAAAATATAATCAGTTGAAAATTTTCTTCATATCTGCACAGTTTAATATGTGCTAGATGCATAATTTTTTACTAGTCAGGTTTTCTGTGTAATTATTTTTTATAAACTGGTATTATAAATAGAAATATACATTCAAAATATATGGAAAAGTGGGTTACTACATTAAATTTGCATGTATCGATCCATCCCTTTCCCCTGCACAGTAATAGAAAATACTATTTTGCCTTGAACTTCATATTTGACAGTGAAATGCCACTAAAGTATTTACCAAAAAGTCCATCTAAAATTGTGAAACAAAATGAACCAAGTGAAAACTTTACATTTTCTTTAGAAAAAAATTACAAGAATTTTTCCTAGCTATGAATCTTTTAACTTTTTTTTAGACACAAAGTTGGATTTATTTTTACAAGATACAAAATGTAAACATGGCAAAATAAATAGTTAAAACAAGTGATGCAGGATCCCATTTCATGCTCATGATCCCATTAAAGAATTATTTTTAAATCCATTCAGTTGCAAATTCAAGTGCAAAAGCATGATGATGAATATCTACTATTCAAGTAACAGAAATAATATTGATGATACAAATAAACTATTTTACAAGGTAGTGATTTTCCCAATTTTACAAAATGTACATTATATATCGACTTAATATACGATATGATAGTCCATTTAGGTCCATTTTAATTCCCTGTGATCCACAGGGTGTTGTTTTGCATTCAGCTGGAATATAAATGACTACACCATTAGCACAGGTTGAGCCACTGCTTTGAGGTTATGTCACCTCCATTGCTACTGTCGTCTCTGCTATTCCATTCAACCCCAATCGTTCTGGTTCATGGTTCTCTCTGAAAATGTGTTTATAAAAGGAAAATAGTTAATTTCTCAATATTTGGCAAATTAATTATCCTAAGTGTTTTTTCCACATTTATTGTATGGGTAAATAATAAACACAAACACAAATTAAATTAACTGAAAATCTTACTGTTTATTTTCCAGATTTTTAAAATAAAAAAACTTACCTACTGGATGTTATTTAAAGGTTCATCAAAGTTCTATTTAGTTGAAATGAATCTTATCACATGAAAACTCACAGTACAATTCTATCCAGGTTTACTCAGAAGTCACAGAAATAGGACTTATCAGAGATAAATGGACATAAGATCGCAGCCTCAATATTTTCACCAAGCAGTCTAAGTTTCTTCCACAGTAACATTTCAAAAAAAGTTTTCTTCTCATTACATGCGATTATTTAACTGAAAATCAGGATTGTGGGTACATTCAGTTCCGGAAGCACACAATGTGAAACTGAAAACAGAATTCAGTTTACAGAAAACTACTGAAGGGGAAAATAAAAGGCACAGATAGTAATGTGTGGATTTTCAGATTTTCCCTGAAACTTCAGAAGGTGGAGTGTTGACTGAATAAACTTTACAGTCACTGGGGGTGGAGCTTCATAGCTCCCTGCACCTGCCCATGACCATCAAAACCAGAACAAATTAGCTCAGAATATAATTAAAATTATACTTTTGTAGGATGTGATCTGGGAGCAATTCAATTTTATGTTAAAAATAAAAAGCAGAGGTGGTCACATTAAAATCCTGATCTGAAACATTGTCTGTCTGTCTCTTTCTCTGTTCATATATATACTCACCTTGCTATGCTGCTGATGGCGCTACTAGGAGTCACCTTTGGCACTCTGTCCATACTGGCAGCAACTGTGGCAAGTTTTAAGGCAGTTGGCGATGGTGCTGAAGTCCTTGTATTGATATGTACATTGACTGGAGAAACAACACTGACATTGTTGAGGTGCACTGCGTTGGTGAGACAAGAATTGTTCATGGGAAGCGTTTGAGGGCTGTTTGTGCACAATGCTGGGATTAAGTGGTTTGTGGTGGTGTGGCCAACTGTCCTTACAAGTTGTACAGTTGAGATCCCTGGGCTAGATGACAGAGCCATGTTGGTGGAGTACAGAGTTTTTGACGTTGCTGTTCAAAACAAACACACAAACACACATATACAGTAAGACTTCCAGGAATAAACAATAACACGTTCAAGAAAATTGAGGTCATTGTGAAACTAATCTAGAACTAAACACCAGAACTCTTTTGCTTAACCCTCCAAAGCCTGTAAAAATTTAAAATGGTAAAGGAGGTTTAAGCTGAGGATAAGATCTGCCAAACTGCTTTGAAAGGGCTTGCACAGTTGAGTGCAGATAGTAAGAAGGATCAAAGCACTAGTGGGCACACAGAGGCAGCCACTCACTTCTCTAAAGTGTGGCTGAAACAAAACACACAGTGAAAGTATGACCTTGTCCATTTGATAAAACAAATTTACTCTCAAATGAACAAATTCTCATTTATTTCCTAGGTTTGTTTCCAAACCATCATTTGATTTCACTAAAAATAAGCATCAAGCAGTTTGTTGCAAATCTTACTTGATTTAAGAACAAAAAAGAAATCCATACCTGTGGGCTGAACAACACCATTTATATTGTGGCTGGCACTCTGTTCCTTTGTCACCTCACTGCGACTGGGAGCAGGTGCACTCACCACTGCAGATGCAGCAAAATGGGCGCTGGCCGAGTCAAGCGTTTTTGACATACAGTCAGAGGTGCTTGAGCCCTAGGGAATTTGCACAAAACAATTATTGTTAATTATGGACTAATAAGGAGATGCTGGTGCATTAGCTCAGTGTGCGTCTCATAACAGGCAGAGAAAGTCAAAATATGATTCCAACTCAGTGTTATTACATTTCAATATCATACCCCAGAGTCAAGAGACCATAAATGAGTATCTTTGCCTTTCATCCACACCTCTATTAGCTCAAAATTCTGTTGATCCGTTCTGAAACTAGAAAGAGTTCCTTTGGATGTCAACACCTCCACACCCCAAACAGTAGCAGTTCCTGCTACATCAGATACTGCTTGCCAAGAGCTACAGAAGACATTTGGTGGTGTGGTGGTTGTGGGGGTAAAGCTTCAATGATAATGTGCAGTGAGATTATTCTTAAGAATTCACAATGATAATGTGCAGTGAGATTATTCTTAAGAATTCACAATTCCAAATAATTTTCAGCAATACTGTAATAATTTCCAAACAAAAAATATGGGTGGTCTTACTTATTTTGAGTGTATAATGTGAGACACTTATTATTTAGATATAAAAATGTTCTTAAAAACTCATTCACAGGAACAAAAAAATATGAGGGATGCAATCAACTAAGCATTTCTTAGTCCAATTTTTACTGATTTCAAATGATCCTGTTTGCTGAATCACATTTTAAAATAACCTGTTTCCTTTAAGTAGGTATTTCTGCTACCTAGACCTACAAGCAGAACAACAGTAAAGTTGACCCATACTTTTGATACAGAGAGCCATCATGACATTGGCAGAACTTTTTTTTGTTTTTGTCGTCTACGTATGTGACTGTCCAGTTCAAACAATACATTTGTCTGTGTGTATACGTGCATGTATACCTAGAGCAGGGATAACCAATCGGGTGCCCTCCAGAAGTTGTTGGACTCCAGTTCCCATCAGCCCCAGCCCCATGACAGATTCCAACAGCATCTGAAGGGCACTACTTTGGCTATCCCTGACCTAGAGGAAGGTCAGTTCAGGGATGACCATATGGACAAAAAGTGCAGCATGAACCGGTTTTAAAGGAAACAGCTCAATTCCTTTTGGGGGTGGGTAGTTTCATTCTCTCTCTATCTCTCTCTGAGCAGGGATAACTGCTGTTAGAATCATGTTTATAATAGAAGAAAAACATTTTCCAGAACAGAATATTACCTGTGCTTTTGGATGCGTCTGTTGGGAGGAATGCTGAGACTGCTGTTTCTGCTGAAGCTGAGCAAGTTGCTGTCTTTGCATTTGAACTAACTGCTGTTGATGTGTTTGAAATTGTTCTTCTGTAATACCCCCTGTTACTGCAGAAAAAGAGGAGATTATGCTTAAATTTCCTCAAAGAATCTGGAAGAACACAATTCTCATAGCAAACTTTAAAGAATATGAAAACAGGACAAAAAGCAACAGATTTATACAAATCAGTTAAGCAATGTACAGTTAAAAGCTTCAGTAAATGCTTTTAATCTTGTGCTGTTTACTGGTTTCTGTTTCGTCTGATGACTACCTGCTGGATCACAACATTGAACAGTGATTTATAGTATCTAAATATAGATGCTATGGAAGAATTCCTTGTCTAATGAAAACCCTTTGAAAATGTGTTATGATTTGAGGTAAGTTACTTAATGTTTAAAATGCCACCAGAAAGGAACTCCTTTCGCAGGTACTGCAAATAATTTCTCAAGTGGTCCTCAATTAACAGGTTCTGTAATATTCCAAGGATCAATGAGTTTCCTGAGCAAATGTTCCCTTTTCCTTGGAATGTTGAGAATGACTTGTCTCTGTGTTTGGAAAACTCGAAGTATCTTGCTAGAAGTGACTTACTAATGAAGCGAGTCACTAGTATAGTTGCTCAATGAAGGCTAGCAAAATGATGGGTAGGGCTGTTTCAGGTCGACAGATTCCCATGACGAAAAGGAAAAGGCAGTTACTACACAGGTATTACTTCTTTGTAGATCAAAATAGCCGTACTGTTTATCATCATTTAATACTTATAAAAGTGACTAAAATGTACTAGTGTTACAAAGGATGAATGCACATGCTTTCCTAGTTTCAATTTATGACGATAACATGAAAAGCATGCCTTGCAATGTTTTATGGTGACTTGTGGTCGTCTCATCATTCAAATTCATTGCAACCTAGTGTGAGTAATTCATGGTTCAATTAGTGGCCAAGTTGAAGCTGAAGTAACAACAAAGTTTATAAAACATTCATGAAATTTTATACTACACCCAAAAATATTTTGTGCTATGGGTGCAATCAAATGGGAAAAGAATCCATCGGTAGTATAAGAAAGGCAGCAATTTGGGAGGCTGCAGATTAATTGCTGAAAATTCCCTCCATCTCTATTCCGCTGATGCATGTCTTGCATTAGTGGGTATATACCCACCCACTAGATCCCACCCTATGTATTATATTAGATAAATTTTATTCCAGAAGTCAGCATAGTTTTCTTGGAAGCTAGTACAACTCACAAATTAATGAAGAAAAGGCAAAGTCAATGAAGCACAAACAAAATTTCCAAATTTTACAACTTATTAGCAAACTTGTCAGGCAACTCAGCTTTTGCCTTTGCTGCATTCTGCTGCTGTGCAGCCCCTTTCTACTGCAGCAGGCCAAGACTAACATAAATCCCCAAAGAGTTGAGAAGAGGGGGAAACAGGTTTTCGAATATTAAATGCCTCCTATATACTCAAGTGGTTATGGGATAGGTTAAATGATGCTAACAAATGGAAGCGCAAAAAGCAGAAGTTGTAGGGAGTTTTTCAATTATTTCAGCCCAATTATGGTTTTGATTTGTACTTGGGAATGGAATGCTACTTGAGCTCTTCAGTGTAAGCTTCAAGTGTTTGGCATTTAGCATCAGAACCTTAGTCTTATGGTTGAATAAAAGATTTAACGTGCCTAAGCACTTCATGTGCTTCTGCAAAAAGCTGAATAAAAGGTCTCATGTGCCTAAGCACCAGAACCAAAACGCTTAACATAGCTTTTCACCCCAGCTTCACTGAAATAGATTCTTCTGGCCATATTTATTTTGGAAACATTCTATTAAGGGAACAATAGATTACTGTTGCTTTTTTACTGAAGAGTAATGCAGTTGAACCACATCCGGCTTCCATGTGCTCTCAACCTTTAGAAGGATGATTTTTTACTCAAACTCAAATCTGATGTACAAAGAACTGGTGCAGCGCAGTTGTGATCATGAGCTTTGCCAATCCCACTCCTGCAGGCTTTCAAATCCCACTGGCAGGAGCCCACTGGGGATACTTAAGTAAGCTATCACTCTTTTAGTCTCAGTACCCAGCCTATAATATGGGGATAGTAATTCTGGACTACATTAAGGCCTGCAGGGATTATTGCAACATTCTCTTTGAGGCATCCATCTAATTTATGAAAAGAGTTAGATAACTAATAATTATAGAAATCAATATTCTTATGCCAAGAGTACTTTCTCTTGCTGATGTAAAACTTGTTTTTGAAAGTGCGAATCATTTTGTAGTGCAATCCTTGGCAATGACTGTTTTGCTCTCAAAGGGTACAGATATGATTTGTCTACTATGCACAATCACTTTAATTTGACAATTGACCTGTTAATGACAGTACTGCTACAGCTGGTTCCATTTTCAGCAAATATTAGTGGAGAGGTTAACAGGAATATGGGGTCGGAGTTCTACAAAAAACCCAAAAAGCTAAGATACTAAAGTGTGTGTCTTCATCACTCCGTTATACATACAGGAATCAGTTCTGAGATCAGTTGCTGCTGGCATGTTAAACAAGCACACAATTTTTGCTTATACCACTTGCAGAAGGTATTGAGAAGAGATAGGAAGTAACTGTTAACAAGATCAAGATCAAGATCCTTAAGATATTACCCAATTACTGGGATAAAGTGCCAATTGCTGCTGCCTCAGGGTAAGCCAGGGCAATATGTATAACATGAGTTCCTGGAAAAGCTTTTAGGACTCCCCCTTCTCCACTTTAACTGAAGCTACTTAAGACCTATGAGAAGCAGGCCGTCAGGAAGTTCATTATATCAGTTTCTGAAGACTTCCCAAGACAACTTAGTTTTTTCTTAAATTTCTTTCTTTCTTTCCTATTTTGATTTGTTGCATGAACATTTGCAATGACATGGTAAAATCACACAATCCATGTGGTAAGCCACTGCACACTAACAGCTTTCTAGCCAGTAATTATGGCTACAGAGTGATTTACCGTATTTTTCGCTCTATAGGACGCACCCGACCATAAGACGCAGGGGGAGGGGGAGAACAAGACAAAAAAATTCTCTCCCTCTCTGCGCAGCGCTCCTTCAGCGAAGCGGCAGGAGAAGCGGAGCCCCTTCCATTTCTCCTCCCGCTTCACTGAAGGGGCACTGCGCAGAGAGGGAAAGCTGCGCAGCGCCTCTCCAGAGAAGCGAAGCCAGGAGAGCAAGAGGGATCGGTGCGCACCAACCCCTCTCACTCTCCAGGCTTCAGCGAAAGCAACGCAAAGCCTCCGGAGCGCAGCGGGAGCGCTCCGGAGGCTTCACATTGCTTTCGCTGAAGCCATGGAGCCTGCATTCGCTCCATAAGACGCACACACATTTCTCCTTAATTTTTGGAGGGGAAAAGTGCGTCTTATAGAGCGAAAAATATGGCGATAATGGCCTCGACCACCATTAAAAAGCTAATGTTGCTCAAAGGAGGTGTGCATAAATTGTAGAGCATTGTGCACATACTGTTATTAATACTAATAAGCAAAGGCAACTCCTAAGTCCTACACGAAGAATAAAGAATTATGCCAAACACTTCTTTAAAATCCAGCAATGCAAAGTTTGGTCCATGGGAAATGTAGCGTATGAAGGTCAATTCACTTATTATCATTAGGGTGTGTGTGTGTGTGTTACAAGGTGGCTTTCGTGTTGCATTAAGGATCAATGTGCTACTTGTGCTGTAACTGCTGTAAATAGTGAATCAGTTTTCACGATGCAAAAATAAAAATAATGGACTTTATAAATTTCTTGTAATTTCTTCTGTTGTGTAGCCTGACCTTTTTTATACGTGTCACCAAAGCTTACTCACGACTAAGTGTGCAGCCTTAGTGCTAGCAGTATAATCAAGTCATATGTTAGTCCTCTGTTTAAATCCATGACACCAAATATTAGTAAATGATCTATGTGGGTGGGGAGTGTAATCTCAGGGACAAGATGGCTGAACTACGTAAGACTTGCGGTGTCCAGGAAAGCATTCATTGCCCCGCATGGCTCTTTACACATCCACTGTACAAAGGAATAAAATATCTGTACAAAAGTATGTAACGCACACACACTGTGATTCTATTTTATTGCAATGACATCTCTCTCTTCCCACCCCCAATACACATACTATTTTCTCTTCTAGAATCCTCAGCCAGGTCCAAGGTGATAAATATGCATTTAAAGTTCAACATTGCAAATTGCTGCCTACCTGATATGCCATTCTTGCTGGTGTTCAATAAAGCTACAGATGGCGCAGAAACTCTTTTATTATTCACAGCCTGCCCTGGTTTCCTTGAGGTACATTCTTCGCTATCACTGTCCTGTATGTTTAGGAGCCGTGGTTGGAAACACTGCAGTCGACACGATCTGATATTGCTTAGTATTTCAGAAAGAGAAAGTCTGTTTTCACAATGTTTATTGGAAGCATTGGTCCGTGAAAAATTAGAAGAAAAGTCTACATTTTGGGAAGAGCTTGAGCAACTGTTTAGCATATCTGGGTCAATCTGTTTCAGGACAGGATCATGTTCTGTGGATATCCGGTCCATCAACACCCTGTTTTAAAAGAAGAAGAAAAGAAAATATTAATATACATTTGAGTTTTGCTTCCATGAAAAGGGAAGAAAATAGTATGTCATTTTACCAACAAAATTAGCAATTCTCTTACCTTCCACCCCTGCCAACTCGTCTTCTTGCAAATCCTATACATCTTCTTGGAACAGTAAGTGTTGTAAGGCAATGCCTATACCTTAGCTTATCCAATTCTGCCAGTTCTGAATTCTCATGAGAATAATTAGTTTGGTCCAAATGAGCCTGCGGAAGACAAGACAAGAATAATTTTGCTTTCATTCTTGGGAAAGGGAAAATGAAACTTGAATAGAACTATTTACGTAAAGGTCCTGATATTATTTTGGCTGCAAAAAGCAGAATACTTTCATAAAACAATTTTCTCATTTTAATTATTGCTCTCTATTACTTTTATTGCTTTTAGATTGCTATACACTACCCTGATAAAGGGATGGTATATAAATACTTTTACAAATATGAATAGAATAAACAAACAACAATGTAAGTGAAAGGGTGAGACAATTGCTAAGAGGACATAAACATTAGGTGTACAAGTAACAGGATTAGATTTGCAGGGTTCAAGCTACTGTGTAAGATATTTCGATGGAATGTAGTCCCATATACTTTAACTAGTGCATTCCTGACACTATTAGTAGGTTTTTTTTAATTCCTTCAAGCTCCCTTCACTGTAATCTCATACGCCCCAACCTCCTTCCCCTGCAGTTTAAGTGTGTGTGTATGTATATGTGAGTGTGAATACTCTCTCTACACACACACACACACACACACACACACACATGGGGGGGGGGGAGAGGGGGAGAGAGAGAGAGAGAGAGAGAGAGATAGGACATGAAATCCCAAAATTGAAATATCAAAACAGAAAAAGCATAAAAGAGTAAAACCAACAACAGAATGACAGTACAGTGGTATCTCGGGTTAAGAACTTAATTTGTTCTGGAGGTCCATTCTTAACCTGAAACTGTTCTTAACCTGAGGTACCACTTTAGCTAATGGGGCCTCCTGCTGCCGCCGCACGATTTCTATTCTCATCCTGAAGCAAAGTTCTTAACCCGAGGTACTATTTCTGGGTTAGCAGAGTCTGTATCCTGAAGCATCTGTAACCCAAGGTACCACTGTACCAAAGGATCAAAAAAGTATTATGATTTAGTCCGCAAAGCCTGGGAAAAGAAAAAGGCCTCCACCAAGCACCAAAGACTGTAACAAAGGCACTGAGTGAGCCTCCTTGGGAAAGGCATTCCACAACTGGAGTGTCACCACTGAAAGGGCCCTCTAGTTAGTAGCCACCAGCCACACCTCTTTTGGCAGCCCTACCCTTTCAAGCATACTGAACTAGTTCAAGTGCAGCTAGCAGTTCCGTGTGTGCCCCAGTTTCCTCAAGGTATATCCCTTCCTGTACATTTGACAGCCTTGACCAGTCACTGTAGCTGGCATACACTGTAGCTGGCATAATCTGATATTGCTTATTATTTTAGGAAGATCAAGTCTGTTTTTAAACACCCAAGGTGGACGAGAGAGGAAAAAGAGGAAGGCTGAAGTATGTTCCTTTTAACCAAACATCTGTCTTCTGCATTAATCAATTAGATAGGTCTTAACAGCAGCAAGAATCCTTACAGCATAATACTGGCATCCTGCCCTCCTTCTGAATGCACTTGCTCCATCAGGATCATTTTCTTCTTCTGGCTCAGACACTGGTGAGGGTACCTAGGGGGCCAAAGCAGTTTGATTTAAAAACACGCTATTATGCCAACTTATTATAACTGACAAGCACTCCGTTTGCTCAGTTTTAGCAGTTCATTTATTGGAAACTTAATAAAATAAAATAAATTCTCATCAGCCAGCATCTAAGGAACGGTGAAGCAAGTTTTGTGAACTTGAGGGTCTGTATAATTGTTTTTCTCCATTAGTCCCCCATATCCCACAAAGACTATGTTTAAGAACTGTTCTCGAGAGCCTGGGAGATGCGAGCTGCCCAAACACAAAAAGGGCACCAGGCTCATCTAAGCCCTTTGTAGAAGCCTAAACAGCCCTTTGGATCCCAGTCCCTGTGGCATGACATTCCAACAGAAACCTATGGTGAAAGGGCAACATTAAAAAAATAAAAATAAAAAAATTAAAGTGACAATTATTTCTATTTTACACAACTTTTTCCTTTTCTCTCTGTCACTATAACTTAGTTGACATGTATTACCTGTGGAAATTCATCTTCATCTGAACTGTGGAAGTCATACTGTTTGATATCACTTTTACTGATCACAGGCAAAGGCTCAGTAGTGGGTTGCTGAGGATTTATTACACTCTCAGTTTTAGGCTTCTTTGGATACTTCTTCTTTTGACGGACAACATCAGACACTTCCTCTTTTAGAGATGAGTGGTGAGCATGCTGTTGTATACAATAAATTTTGGACAACCCCCCGTTTGTTAATAATTATTCTTATTTCATTAAACAGTCTATATCCACCACCACCCTTCTAATCTCATTATGGTTCAGCTTTGCTCATGAACAGGTTGCCTAAAGAATAAAGTTTATATAACTCTGAACAAGTATTTCTTTTACAAAAATTAATATTCAACAACTTGCACATATAATATTCAGTATCCTTTACTGTGTTCTGCATTAACTTTTAAAAGTACTCAGTAATTTTCTAAAAAGCTGATGTCTTGCACACTTTTTCCTGCTCAAAGTTTCTTACTTTGTGGCAGTAGAGAACAAGGCAAGTATGAACCAAACTGAACAGTGATAGGTGCCTACAATGTAATAACCACTAGATGTCATCAAAGTTAAATACAAGAGAGAAATGTTTTAATGAAATATGTTCTTTTTGATTTAAAATATTTGAAAATGTTTAGTTCTTTTCTAAAAAGAACCATCTAAATATATGTACTGCAAATAAGCCAATTCTAAAATCTCAGAGAGCATGAGTCTCTATGAAATAATTGCAACTGTTACCATTACAATGATTTGAAGACAGTGCTGGAAGATTATTTCTCTAATATGAAGCAAATTTTTAAAAAATGTGTCTGGATAAATTAGCTAAAGTTAACTGCCAAAAAACTTTAATCTGCAGTTATCTCTTGTAAGAGGACTAAGGGAAGAAGCAATTTTTATGTTCTTGACCTCTGTAACCTGAAAGCATTCTAAAATGCAGCAATGCCTCCACCAAATGGCTTCATATACAACTAGAAATATAGCCCTTTCTAATTAGTTGCATAAACCAAGAAGCACAGCAAACCTTCTCAGCTCCTGTGCTATTGATTTTTGAACTGCTAAAATGAAAAAAAGATATACAGCTGGCTGTGTACATCAGGTATTGCTATCTGTACATACAGCTTCAGATAGATTTTTATTTCTGCTTTTTTCTGACATTATAGAAAATAATTATTACTACATATACATCACACTTTCCACATTACAAAGAGGACAATGTATCCAGTGAAATTAATGGTGACGCAAGTCATTTACCTTAGCTTTACATTCTTGAACCTTGTGATGATTTCCATTATGAAGAGCTGCTGGAGTGGTGTTCATCTCTTTTTCAGTTGTATTAAGTTTGACTTCGTTAAGTATTTCTCCTCCATAATCACCCAAATGGTACCTTAACAAAAAAGAAAAATAATTATTGCTAATCATTAATGAACTACTTTAAATATGTGAAGTGCTTTAAAATATTTTGTCTTTATTTATTGTCACAGGAACCCTGCAAGGCATGTCATCATTGCTTCCTATTTACAAACTCAGAACGGAGGATATGTTTGATATATAGGACAGAACACCCCATGTGCCAAGTGAAACATTCCACCAAACATACTATATTTGCTAATCACGGCACTTCTACTAAAACATGTTATTTTATGGAATTCAAGCAGAACCTGTTTAACAAGAATGGATGAAAAAATTACCTTTTCTCCACAACCTCCAATGTCAAATGTAACAACTCTCGTTTTGTTTTCTCTCGTCTTTTAATCATCTCTAAAATTGTTATGGCTCTACTAAACTCCCTTCTTAATTTCAGCATTTTCTCATAAGAGGCTTCATCATTCTTTCGGTTCTGTTGGGGGGAAAATATTAATAGTAAAAAGCATGTATGGAAAATGTAGTCGTACTGAGTTTAAATAATTGCACTTTATATTGAATCACTGACATTTAAGGTTGGGTCCAAATTATCTTCAGGTAGCATTCTGCTTCCACAACAGTCATCCAGAACAAGGTAAACTTCACCTCCCCAGTCAGAAACATCCACAGAACCTATGCCTTGCCTGAATTGAGTCCATGACTTTAGGCACTTGGTTCAAGACTTCTACTGCCTTGCCCAAGTTAGATGAAAAGGAATTAAGCCGAATGTCAGCAATGCCCTGGTGACATCTCAGCCCAAATTTCCAAATGGTTTTCCTTAGCAATATCATATAGAAGTTAAATAGCACAGGGAATGATACAGACAGTGATAGTCCATAATATAATTGCCATGGCACAGAGCAGTTCCCCAGCATCACCTTCTGGAAGGAATCTGCCAAGCAGGAACAGAAACACCTGACCACAGTGGTTCTCAATATCTAGTTCAGCCAGTAAATCTCAAAGGACACTAGTCCATGTCCCTGAAAGGTCCAAGAAAATTAGCATGGTCACACTTCTCCATCCTTCTTCCAGCAAATGTCATCCCATAGGGTAATTAAGGCAGTTTCAGTTCCAAGCTGGAACTGGCCTGAAGCCAAATTGGGATGACTCTTAAATAGTGTCATCTAAAACTGAAAAGCCACTATTTGCTCAAGCTACTTCCTTAAAAAGGAAACATTTACAACTGGCCTATAGGATATTTATTTATTTCCAAAATGCAAAAACAAACAACAGAAATAAGATACAGAGACCCAGGCATCTGAAATCCAAGAAAATGAGACTGAATCATACTAAATAATGGACTGCAGAAAGTGACAAGAGAAGGCAAGCTAAAGTCTTGAACCAAAAATTGGAAATTAGGATCCACTTTGAAGGCACACTGAATTCATGGCAGCTACAGTACTCCAAAAATTAGAATGAGAATGTGGTTAGTCCCATGATCTTTATTTTATTAATATTCCAGCTAATATTACTTAAAAACTTCCTTACTATCATCTTGATTATGAGTTAGGTAAACAGATTTTAGCAGACAATGCAACATTTTCACCTTTTGTCCTTAATAAGATGAAGAATTTGTGACATTTAACCTTTGGAAAATAGCAGTTTGGAAAACTGCAGAACTGAGAGAGTTACCTTTCTTGTCTGCATTTTCTCTGTTCTCCTCCGGAAAGCCACGTATGGATCATTGTTGGTGGAGCCATCTCTTTTTTCTTGCTTGATTTGGGGGATGAGGGAAGGCCCTCTGCAGTTCTTACGTTTTCTTACCCAGTAGTCATAGACAGCCTTAATAAGGTAATCATCCTCATTTAGCAGCAACTTAGCTTCCTGAAGTGTTACAAGCTGGAAAAGATATAAAAACATTGTTGTGTAACACAAGGAATTATTTTAAAAGTTGTTCTTAACAATAATCCAGGATGAAAATTTTGAAGAGGAAATGTAACACACAATCCTCTACAATGTATTAGCTATCAGAACTTTGGTTTCTTCATACAATTAGTACTGCAAGGTGTGAAGAGAGCAATGTGGTATGACTTTACAGCTTCAAAAAAAAAAAGACCTGTTGCACAAAAATTAGACATCAGACATTTTATGACAAAATACTTCTTTAATACTACTAATTATTCATCGGTGTCTGAAATGCAGCGTCTGTATCATTTACTTCCTCTGTAGCAGCAGTCAGTTATTTTGGCTGCAGGTGCACATTATATTTCCATACTGTCAATACAGCAATAGAAACTAGGAGCTTCCTTCAGGTGATTTGGGTTGATCAAAGTCAGAATATTTCGTACCTCAACAAGCATTTCTTGCTAAGCGGTTAAGGGCTGAAATGATGCCTACACTTGTGTCAAAATAAATCTATAATTTCTCTTCTTCTCATTTCCATAATCTGGACCCTGGCAAACCTATCAATTTCTCTGAAGAACGGAGTTGTTCCAGGGAATACAGATCCGGACCACCCCTGAGCTACACTGGAATTGTCTGAGTTCTGCCTACACTCCTTGAGTGAATGGTCTCTCCATTCCAAGCAACAAAACAAATAAGCTAATGAGTTCTATTAGGTATTTAAAAAGATCTACATATTTTATTCACTCAGCCCTTAGGAGTACCCAATGAAAACAAGTTTTTATTCAACTAAAGGAGGAAAAGCAAACTGGAAAATGTCAGTTCATCTTTACATAGATAAAATTATTGAACTTTAGTGCTGTGGAATCTAGGCTGCTAAGCCTTTTTCCTTGCCACATAATGACTATAAGGATAGGAATAATTAGATTTTGGTGGGATTGAGGTATAAAACTAAAGAACTAGGGTAAAAGGGATATTTTATCATAAAGAAGAATGAGAACAGCTCACAGCCGCAGGAAACAAGAGTTTTCAGAAAGCCTTCTCTCGTAGTCAAAATGAGGATATCAACACCCAGCGGCCCTATTCTAACTAAAAGTAGTCACACTTATCTCCCATTAAAATTAATGGGGCTTAAGTTAGCTGTAACTACTTTGCCTCACAGACTTTAATGGGACTTGAGTGCAACTAACTTTTGCTGGATTGAAACAAGTACTTTAGAGAAACAGGATGATGCAACAGACCACATTACCCTGCAATTCTGAGTCTTTACAAAAGCTACCCTATAGGTCCAAAAAATACTGATTTCCGATGCACTGTGATGTACTATAGACATTCCTAAGTGCTCCTAAGAGCTGCACATTGTAATCCCAGGTGTTTCCAGAAATACATATGCTTGGTAAAGTAAAAGAGTTTGACATTCTGGGACTACTTTTGTTAAGTTTCCTCCTCTGAAAACACTCTTAAGACAGTGATTCCCAATTGGGGGTCCATGGACCCTTGGGGGTTCGCTCACTCACTCAGGGGGTCCTTAGCACCATTCACATAACAAAAATTACCAAATAATTCCCCCCAAAAAAGTAGAGGATCCATGGCTTGGCTTTTGAAAAACATGGGGTCCATAAGGTAAAGGTAAAGGTAAAGGGACCCCTGAGCATTAGGTCCACTCGTGACCAACTCTGGGGTTGCTGCGCTCATCTCACTTTATTGGCCGAGGGAGCCGGCGTGCAGCTTCTGGGTCATGTGGCCAGCATGACTAAGCCACTTCTGGCGAACCAGAGCAGCACACAGAAACGCCATTTACCTTCCTGCCGGAGTGGTACCTATTTATCTACTTGCACTTTGACGTGGTTTCAAACTGCTATGTTGGCAGGAGCAGGGACCGAGTAACGGGAGCTCACCCCGTCGCGGGGATTCAAACCGCCGACCTTCTGATCGGCAAGTCCTAGGCTCTGCGCCACCCGTGTCCCCATGGGTTCCATAGTACTTAGCTAATTGGGAACCACTGCTTTTTAAGATATTGGCTGTGTTCACAAATAATGCTAAAGCATGGCTTGCCCACTCCACCCTTCCCTCTATTCTTTCTGTTTAGTGGAATGAGGACTTCTGTGGAGATTAGTTTCATTTTCAATGAATGTTGGCTTATTGTGTCATATGAACCAGGAATTAAGTCTCATGGTTTGCAGTTACCTTACATTAAAAATTGCTCGAGTTTACCGTAAGTTTGTTTGTAAAGCTGTTGCATACGCAGGCACATACACAGATACGCAGCTGCAACACTTTACAAGTAACTTTTCATGGGGTGGCAGGATGAACTGGTTCTTAAATTCTGTCAAGGTTCATTGGCTTCGGGCACATCTGATAACAACGCTAATTATAACCATATCAAGGATTTTATAAAAATCTTTTATTTCACTTTTTGAGATTTTGAGAATAGTAACTGGATACCCAGACATCAACTAAACAGAACAACCTCTCCATTATGCTTATATGCCTGAAAATGTAAAGCTACTTTTGACACAAGTTACACATTTATTCTATATATTTGAGCTCAAGACATTTGAGTTCTATTGTTCTTTGTTTGCACAAACAACTATTTCTTGGAAATGAAAACTGATCACTTAATGAAGTTAACTACTTCGTTGGAATACGTTGCTTTTCAGCCAATAATGATTTAATAGAACCTACACAGAAACTATTACTATCAGCTACATTTCCTATATGAAACGTACCATACTTTTCTGTGTATATGAAGCCCCTATTTTGGGGGACTCCAAATTAAGAAAACACCCCTCAGCACTACCCATGTATAAGACGAACCTAAACCTAATTTTTTGGTTAAAAAGCCTAGTCTTATACACGGAAAAATACGGTATTTCATGGGCAACTTTCCAGTTCCACATGTTCAAATGCTTATTCTGGGATCCTGCACATGCTCTGCTGGATTAGGTTTAATGCCATCCAGTGCCTGAGAATGGAAGACTGAACTTTTGGCAGTTTGAAAGAATACACAAGTGTCAAAATGAACCAATATTCAGCACAAATCTATAAGTTATTCCATGCTCTTTAACAGCCTTATTTTCTTCACACACAAAAACAATGATCAATTAACTATAATTATTTGGACAGTACCTGAAGTTTAAACTAGTTGCTATCTTATTTACACTTTAGAAGATGACAGTATATGATTTCTATGGTCAAGTCCCCCCTTCCAGAAGAAATGTGATCCTAGCATCAATTATGACAGAGTCTGCTCTATAATGAGAGGTCCTATGAAGTACTATTTAACCAGCCAATTGAAGTACAGTGGAACCTTGGTTCGTTCCGGAAGTCTGTTCGACTTCCAAAACGTTCGAAAACTAAGGTGTGACCTCCCATTGGCTGCAGGCGCCCCAGAAACTATAGCCAACAGCCGCATTGGACGTCCAGCTTCTAAAAAACGTTCGGAAACTGGAACACTTACTTCCGGGTTTACGGCATTCGAGAACCGAAATGTTTGAGTACCAAGGCATTAGAGAACCATGGTTCCACTTCACATGACACAACCAAGAAAATTTCGCAGTTCCAGGTTATGAATAGAATGGCTTCAAAAATCTCTGGTTTTTGATGGCTCTAACCACACCATTTGTCTAAACTGTTAAGGTTCATATGACGGAATAGCAGTTAGTGCTTCAAGAAGATGTAAAATATTTTTATTACACTCATTCACTAAGCATTTCTAAAACTATTGTTGGAACCGCAGAAGAATACGCAAATATAGCATGATTCCTCAAAGTATAGATAAAACTTTAATTCAACTTTGAATATGGTTTTGTGAGGTTCAGGTGACCCTCATGCCACCTATATTATAGCTCTGCTGTGCTTCTTGAAATTGTTGGAACAGAGCACTGAGCAAAATTTTGCATCAGCACTGTAGAACATATTGCCCTGTGAAGAATAACAGTCCCCTCTCTTTTCTTTCATCAGTTGGTAAAGACATTTTCATTTCGGCAGGCCTTTGCCTTGCTTTGTACTTGATGTTTTGTTTAAAAGTTATGCTTTAACTTTGCACAATACCTGCCTCTATTGTATTTTTAAAATATTTTAACTGAATGATTGTTTATGATACTATTATTTAGATTTTTGTAAATCACAAGGTGGAAGTGAAATTTCTAAATAAAGAAATATCAGTAAGAAAAAATTGGAAAACTTAAAATGAATACTTTTTTGACAATATAATGAAACTAAGGATTTATAGTCTATTGTGTAAATTGACGTGTCATGTTTTTCTTTAAATTGGAGAAAAGCTTTTAGCTTGACAAAAGGCATGCTGTGGTCCTTTCTACAGGAGCATTAGTAAATCCCAGCTAAAGTAATTTTCTGCTCACCTCCTGAATTTTGCACCTAGGTATGACTCAAGCAATGCACAAACCATGTAACTACTGTCCATAAGGACCCTTCATGCAACATTAAATGAGAGGCACAGACGGCCTTATCCCCCCACAGCTGAGATGGGCATTCAATACAACCTCCCAACAAGGAAGAGGAACTGGTAACAGATAAAGGAAAACTCCATAGACTAGTAAAGCTTAAGGCTTTCATAATGAGATATATATATAATTTTATTTATATGCCACCCATCTGACTGGGTTATATGCCACCCATCTGACTGGGTTGCCCCAGCCACAAAAAAATAGTAAAAATAAATAAAGACATTCACATTAAGGAACTCTTATCAAAATTCAACTTTATTAGTGAAATCTTAGATGAATAGTGCTTTGTAAACCGTAATACCTGATTAGAACTAGCTTTCTCAAGCCTGTCTATCATAATTTCAAACTGCAGTGGTTTGATTTCCATCTTCCGATTGAGCCTATTTAATAATGTCTCATCTTCTGAGTCCATATCATAATCAGGTTGCTCATTGTCCAGATTGAAAGCTGAAATAAAAAGGGGACAGAAACATACTTTAAAATACCATGTGAAATGGACATATGCATACTAACAATAATCAGCTGGAAATGAATAAAATGTCAACTAGTTCAACAGCTGCTCTCAAAAGGCAGGACTTGTTTATTGGAAAACTTTTTCTTCCACCATAGACAATACAGAAGATCAGGATCAGTACACCATGAGAACAGAGCATCTGTGCTGCTGAAAGATACCCACAGAAAATATGGCTCCAGCTGACTCAAAGTAGTGACCTACTGTGCACAATACAAAGAAAGGCAAAATTATTTGGGGGCTACTAAACTAACAAGAGTTAAAGAATAACATAGAACAGAGCACAACTTGGAAAAACTTTCCCCTAATGTAAGATGACAGCTTTCCTATCCTACCACATAATATGTGTTAAGACACCCTATCTTAATGAAATTAATACCCTTTAATGTCTTAAAGGATAGCTGGACACTTTTTTCAAATACCAGTTCTCAAATTACAGTGACAAAAAAGGAGGGAGCCCTTATGAAATCTACAATCCCTATCCTTGGATGCCTTCAATTTTAATCAAATTAGGATCCCCAAAAACCTTCTAAAGCAGTAATGAAGGGGCTTTCACAATCAGCCACCCTTATCATTCAAACACTGGCATTTACTCATTTGGAAGGTTTTCATAACCTCAGCAACAGCTGGATGATATAAATAAATCTCATTTTCCTATTCCATGATTATTTTTAAAGGAGGTTAGATTATTACCTATTGACTTCATCCTTCTACTGCAGAAGACTGAATAAGGTAATAATCAAAATTATTCCAGTTCTATGAAAGTAAACTTCATATTTATTTTTCTTTCTCTAGTAGTAACTGTTTTCATCTACAGTTCGCATTATGCTAACCTCTCACACTAGGCATAAACTTAATTTGTCCATAAGAGTTCAAGATCATGAAACAAACAAGAAGCTCATCCACAATCTAAGACAGAAATAAAAATCCAGAATTGCACAAAACAACAGTTATAAATGGGGGTGGGGCACCTTTTCCCTTCCAGATATTCTTGAAGCACAACTCCCATCAGCCCCAGCAAGCATGGTCAATGACCAAAGCTTCCCCACATCTGTTATAAAGGGATTCTGATGCACATTTCAAGCACCAGCTCTTCCTTGGTGAAATAATTTTTATTTCTGGGCACAAATATTTTTAAAGCGCCATATTCAATAAAAAGTGTTCCGTGGGGAAGAAGTGAGATTTGAAACATGCATTGAAATCTTTTTTTAAAAAATACTTTGTCTAGAAAAGCTTGATATAATAAATAGAAGCCTACAAACCTAATTGCCTTCCATAATCAGCACCAAACAACAGCACCACTCCCCCAAGAAATTCAAAGAAGGGCATAATGAAAACTGTCATTCTGTTCATCCCCTGCATCTGTCAGTGAGAGATGCCATGGTAAAGCCTATACTGAATGGATTGTTCTAATCCCGAACACAATACCTGGCAAATGACTGGATCCATATAACCCTTTGTTCCCACTAAGGGTGAAATACTGGATTCAAGGCTCCCAAATGCGTGGCCAGCAAGCTGAAGCTAAAAGATCTGGAGAAACGCCAGAGCCAAGGTGCCAGAATTAAAAATGCCCTATTCTTGGTCCACACCTGCCTCACATCATTGAAGACCCCAAAGCAGGATCTCTATGAATGACTTAGACACATGCTATTGTGTATTTGTTTGGATAAAGCCATAATTCTGAACTACAGAAAATGGTTTTGCACCTTCCAGTATATTTTACTATTTCTGTCCTCATCAATAATAAGAAGCCAAATTGTTTCTGTCAATGTGAATTATATGCAAGATAATCTGGAATCTCATCCACAAAACTAATATAGAAGAATGGCTAGTTCCCAAAAGGCCTTCCTACTTTTCTCAGAGATTGAGGAAATTACATTACTTCTTCAACTTGAAAGTACTAGTGGACATCTTTTGTCAGCAGCCACTCTAGCTTTGACATTTAATGCAAAAGGGGAAAAAAGTAACAATGAACTTACGTTGGATATGAATGAACTGTTTTGGCTGTTTAAACTCTCCTTTGTATAGACGATTGTAATAGTTGACATTACTTTCTGCTTCGGGAACTGGAATAACCATGTTCTCTTTCTTTTCTCTGAAGACTTGCTGTGCTGAGATAGCTCGTTGCAAATGGTGTTCCTAAAAAGAAAGTAGTAGTTTAGATGTCACTACTGCACTATAGAAAAACAACTAGCACAATATCCTGCCTTATCATACTGGAAATAAAAAAAAAAGGAAATTTGGAAAATATTTCGGAATATTTCAATAGGTCAGATAGACAATAATGCTTCTCCTTAAAATGAGAAAAATATTTTTACTAAACTATTATATATCTTCAAGGGAATGTCTCATTCATCCTTCTTTAATGAACCCACAGGTTACAATTAAAAACAAAACAAAACTTTAGAGAAAGATTGCTCTCATTGCCCTGCCAAGTAAGAATACCCTGCAGGCAAGCAGGCAGGGAATCTTTATAGAAACTATTTTTCTTCTTCTTCTATTAAACCACACATAAATACTTTAAGTATGTGTGGGCATGAGTACTAGTAAACATATTAGTGGGTTAATTACTTTTGTGCATTTTTTTTAACAAGGCAGCTGTAACGAGAAGATATCTGGCAAAGGGAAGAGATTTTATGAAGTACTTTCCAGATGTGTGAAAGATGTAAAGGGCAAAAGCCCCTGCTCACTTTCCACAACACAACTGAAAACGATGAATGCAGACATAGATTGCAAGTTGATTAAATTAAAAAGCTTGTACCATGCAATGCCTCAAAAACAGGGTCAGCAAAGGAACTGCTGGATCCTAAACCAACCCATTTGTTAGAGAGGGGCCCTGGGATAGTGGCTCCACCCCATGAGAGATCCTGGGGCAGAATTAGGATTACCCTGCCCATGAAGACTCCTAAGCATCAAGATTAAGTTTTTAAAATCCACAATGAGGATCAGATCTTTCTCTTTTTTCAGTACACAAATATTTTAAAGCAAAAATGTACCAAATACATTAATAATGAATCTTCCCCAACAGAATATGTGTTGCCTGCTTCATCACTTAAATTCTTATACTTCAAATAATAAACACCTTTGCAAAAAGACAATCCCAAATTTGCCATAATTTCTTTTAAATCTTCATTAATCACCATGTACCACACACAGCACTTGTACTTCAGATAAGGAATTTCGAAGACAGGAATCAGTTTCTTATAGGAATGTTTAAGTGGACTCTTAGGTTAGTGTGAAACATAGTTACCTTATACTGAATGAGACTACAGTGGTACCTCTGGATACAAACGGATCCGTTCCGGATCCCTGTTCACATCCTGAAGCGAACGTAACCCGTGTCCACATGGGTCGCGATTCGCCGTTTCCACGCATGCGAGTGACGTCATTTTGACTGTCTGCGCATCCGCGAGTGGTGAAACCCAGAAGTAACACGTTCTGTTACTTCCAGGTCACCGCGGAGCGCAACCCGAAAGCGCTCAACCTGAAGCATATTTAACCTGAGGTATGACTGTAGTGGTTGGAGGAAAAATGTAACTCACACTGCTTGCAGAGTTGATCAATAATTAAAGCCATTCTATAAAAATGAGAATATTAAATAAATTCAAGGAAGAAAAAGCTTGTGTCGTCCTTCTACTGGCCATGTTCAGACCGTGGTAAGTGTGATGTGAAGGCTCATAACCTCTGTCTGAATACATGTGCTCACCTCCCACTCAGCTAAGGAGGAATTCAAAAACTTTTGCTTTTAGTCAACCCTCACTTCCCAAACTGTTAAAACAAGGAATTGTTAATACAGTACTATGTTTAGTTTCAAGGGGCAAATTTCTGAAACTGAAAGTTTAATGTTTGCATTTTAAGTTTAAAATGGCAGAATGAAATACAGCCACTATACGAAAGTGTAAGAAAGAAATGCTTTCCAGTTCTGAAAACCATTACTCCCCAATTAACGTGCATTTATTTATTGTATCGACATAGTAGATTTAGAGGCTGCCCTTCAGCTCCAGGCCCCCAGGGTGGTGATATCTGAAGCTCACACATTAATTACATGTCCTATCTATTCCTGAAAATAACATTCAATTTCAAATCAGTTCGTTCTATTATGCTCTGAATAAAACTCTTATGAATAGTATCTCATCATACAAAAGCAACCTTTGCAAAACATGGATACTCAGAGGCTAACTGCATAATAGAACAAGCAGAACTTTCAACAAAATGTTTCAGAGTGGAGTGCTCCTCTTCACTTCTGTGGTCAGCTGTGCCCTCCTATGGGTACTCCATTCTATATACTGCACACTGTTAACTCTCTTATCAGTCAAATTTGTAATTTGTCATGAGAAACTCAAAAGACAATTCAATGGGAAAGAGAGAAGCAAGACTCTCCTGAACTCGTTTCAGATTATTATTATTATTATTCAGCTTATTAGTATTATAATGCTTTACAACTGGTGGCTAAGTTTACTTTCTTCTTCCTACCCTGGCCCTTTTTTCTTGTGTGTCATGTTTTGCAACTGCAGGCTTACAGGCAGGGACTATCTTGTTTTAACTGATTTTACATAAGCCACTCTAGGAGGCTTTTTGGCTGAAGGGTGGGATATAAATACTATAAATAATTAAATAAGAAAGGAAGAAAGATGCACATGAATAAGAAATTACACACCATTTACAATGACACAAATTTACATGCAACTTATCTTATGCCTATTAAGAGACTAATTTATAAAGTGTAATAAGGTTAGAAATTGATGAGCATATACTGCCCTTCTTAGATTCCACCTCAGAGGCAATCATAGAACCTGAGCCTGTGCCTCCCTCAAACCACCAGTCAGTAGCTCCTAAAGCAGGTTTGACACCTTTAATGCAAAAGGCTCTACTAATCAGGGGTTGGCCTAGATGTACAGTATTACTTAAGGCTCAGCCAGGGTTTGTCGGTTGTCTGAATAACATTCAAGTTTGCCTTCCAGCGTTGGCTCAACTTGGAGCTATCCAGGGTGCTACCCATTTTGCTTCTTCACCTTTTGGCCTTGGCTGCAGCTTGCCTGACTTTTTTAATAATCATGACCTATCCGCTGCTATGTCTCACCTTTCCTTAATGAAACCTGACCTCTTCTTTTCTTTACTTACTGAACCTTAATGTGGAAGTGGTGGTACAGGACCTTGCCACAAGTGCCTAAAACACGCCTCCCCTTCAGGCTAGAACTCTATCTCCCAGCTGGGACCACTGGGAATATATAGGAGGGAATAAAAACCCCAGAATAGGTCTACTCTGTTTTAAGTGTTAAACCACAAACATGGAATTTGTTATAAGCAAAATGCTAAATTATTTCCCCTGCCATGGGGAAAGGATCCTAATTTGCCTTTCCCATTCAAGTTAAGACTTGACCCTTGACTGTTAAAAGAGTGTGTGTGTACACATCTATACCACTTAAAATAACGAATATCTCTAACTAATTTACAATAAAATACAGTAACAATAAAAATGAAAATATCTTTCCACAGATTTATTAAAAATAAGATAAAAGCACAACTGTATATTACAAATAAAACTGAGCAGAGTACAAAACAAGACAAAAAATGTAAGAGTCAGAATCTAGGAGAGCTTGAGTAAACCTAAAATTTAATAAGCTGTTTAAAAGTCATTATTCTCTCCACTTCATGAGTTACCCAAGGGGAGGCATTCCAATGGGTGAAGCTTTTGCTGGGAAGGCCCACTTTTACACTGCTTTCAAGTGACAACTCACTGGTCATGGAATGACCAGCAAGATTTCCCCAAAAGATTTTCAATACTGGGTTGGTGTGTATTGGAGGAGACTATCTGCAAGGTACCTTGGTCTCAAGCTGTTTTTTAAAAAATATTTATAAACTATAGTTTAATAAAAAATGAAAGTCATATACATCATACAAAAGATCCATAAATAATACCACTTGGTTAAAAGAAAAGGCACATTTACAATACTAGATACCTGCTAAACATCTATTGGCACTCCTGCTGCACTAAAGGCTCTATCCCTAGTAAAGGCCAACCAGATTCCAAGGGTGTGGGGAATCACAAAAAGTGCCCCATTACAGGATGTCAGTGATTGAGGTGGAACAAACACATGGGGTCAAATGGGCCTTAAGGCAGTTTAGAAGGCTTTGAGAATTAATACAAGTAGAGCCGAATCAGTAGCAAATTGGTTCAGGACTTTAAATGCCAACAACAAAACCTGGCTCAGTACCTAAAAGGCAGCCTGCACAACTTTTTCAAAACTACAGTAATATGTGTAAAGCTGGGTGTCACACTAAGCAACCCAGCAACTGTATTTTACACTACAGTGGTACCTCAGGTTACATATGCTTCAGGTTACAGACGCTTCAGGTTACAGACTCCGCTAACCCCGAAATAGTACCTCGGGTTAAGAACTTTGCTTCAGGATGAGAACAGAAATCGTGCTCCGGCGGCGTGGCAGCAGCGGGAGGCCCCATTAGCTAAAGTAGTGCTTCAGGTTAAGAACAGTTTCAGGTTAAGAACGGACCTCTCGAATGAATTAAGTTCTTAACCTGAGGTACCACTGTAGTTGCAACTTCTGAACCAAGTGTAAGGGTAGCCTCACATGTAGTACATTACAGTAGTCTAATCAGGTTACCAACACTAGTCCTGTCTACGGACAGCCATAGTTGGCACCAACTGCAGTTGGTGTGCCAAGTGCTCCAAACACAGCAGTGTACCTAGCAGTATCTTTAATACATACACCTGCTTCTTCAGAGGGAATATAACCCTACAGAAAGTTGGTACACAACCCAATTGTCTGAACTGGGAACCACCCAGCCATAGAGCCTCCATCTTGTCAGGATATGGTCACAAGTTATTAGCACTTACACAGTCCATGAGTGCATCCAGGTACCAGCGTTCAAAACTCTTATTGTTCTAGGCACATTCTGAAACAGGGAATTTCATTTATGAGAGCAGTTTCTAAGCTCTGGGGGTAGTATTGTGCCTAAGATTTCAGATTAAAATTGCCACTGCTGGAACAAAAGGAGGACCTTTTGCTGCCTCCCCACTTCCAGCCACTCTCTGAGGACTGGAGAATGGACCCTCATAAGAATATTAGGGGGGGGCAGACAGGGGAAGTATGGCTTTGTTTTTTGCAGTCTTCAGATAAGGACTAGACTATGCAAAAAATGAATATAAGATTTTAGCTGCAGTTAATTCATTCTCGGCATTGTATTCTTGTACAGTAATAAAAAAGCACGCCTAGACATTCCACTGCAGCACCCATAACCTAGCTTTAAGCTGCCATTTAGCTCCTAGCTTTCATATCACAGTTTCTAACACGCTGGTTGCAAATGGGATCCGTTCCGGAGCCCCGTTCGCAACCTGAAAGGAACGCAACCCGTGTCTGCGCACGCGCGGGTCACAATTCACCGCTTCTGCACATGCACGTGATGTCATTTTGCGTGTCTGCGCATGCGTGAGCGGCGAAACCCTTTCCGGTACTTCCGGGTCGCCGCGGGAGGCAACCTGAAAAGACGTAACCTAAACCGAATGTAACAAGAGGTATGACTGTACTGGTTTAGGGTATGCACACCATCTCCAGATTCAGAGAAACAGAGCTGAGTATCACCAGCATACTGGCAACATGTTGCCTTATCTCTTCTAACAACCACTCCCCATGACTTCATACAGAAATTACCATATTTTTCACTCTATAGGACGCACCCGACCATAGGACACACCTTGTTTTAGAGGGGGAGAACAAGAAAAAAAAAATCTCCCGCTCTCTGCTCAGCGCCCCTTCAGCGAAGCGGCAGGAGAAAAGGAGCCCCATCCATTTCTCCTCCAGCTTCGCTGAAGGGGCACTGCGCAGCTCTCCCTCTCTGCTGAAGCCTTGCTCTCCCAGCTTCAGCAAAAGGAGCCCGAAGCCTCTGGAGCACAGCAGGAGCTCCCGCTGCGCTCTGGAAGCTTCAGGCGGCTATCCCTGAAGCCTGGAGAGCGAGAGCGGTCGGTGCACACCGACCCCTCTCGCTCTCCAGGCTTCAGCGAAAGCAATGCAAAGCCTCCGGAGTGCGGAGGGAGCGCTCCCTCTGCGCTTTGGAGGCTTCGCGTTGCTATCGCTGAAGCCAAGGAGCCTGCATTCACTCCATAGGACTCACACACATTTCCCCTTAATTTTTGGAGGGGAAAAAGTGCGTCCTATAGAGCAAAAAATACGGTAAATACAACCGGGGACAAGATGGTGTGCTGTGGCACCCCACAGAACAACTGCCAGGGGGGTGAAGTGCAGTCATCCAAACCCATAAGCAGGAGTGAAACGGTCCCACCCCCAACCTACAGATGAAGTCCAGGAGGATACTGTGGTTAAGCTATCAAAAGCTGCTGGGAATTCCAGGAGAATCAACAGTCACACTCTTCCTGTTCTTCTCTTGAAGGTCATCAGAGTGACCAAACCAAATTCTGTCCCCCAAAGCAAGGGCTTAAGTCATACTGGAATGGGTTGATACAATCATTTCATCCAAGAATGTATACAGCAGAACTGCCACCGTCCAGTGGAATACATGGATCAGGAAGTAATTTTGGTTTGCGGGGTCCAGAGAATATCCCCTGGCTCAGGAAGGTTAAGAGCAAACATTTTCAACATACTGGTTTAAGATATAACATAGTAGTTAAGAACAAACATTCTTAACAGCAATGTTCATGTAACTTGACCAGTTTTCATATAACTTGGATGGAGATAGGTGGCTGAATCAAATGGTGTCCCTTCCCACTTCACTGACAGATGAGATTCCCCTTCCCCAGCCCTCTAAATATGCTCAGGAATGGGAGAGAGACTGTTTGGAACAATGGAAACAGGAAATTGGTGAAAGTAGCTTTCCACCCTGTTCTGGTGACAACAGCCTCTGCTGGATCAAAAAACTTTCCAGCAGCATGAAGAAAACCTGTTAGACATGCTTAGAAAATTGAGGTAATTTAAATCTGTTTTAGTATTTTAACTTTTGCATGTTTTAAAGTAGGGATGCACTATTATATCTTTTGCAAACAGGTTTAAGCGTGTATGTTTTTAATGAATGAGTGAATGAGCCCAGTGTGATGCCCTTCTTGAGTACTTTTGCCTCATTGGAATGAACTGTGATAACACTTCTTGAGTGTTTGGAGCTGTGTATGTGTAAAAATACCTGACTTTTGTATGAAGAAATTTTGTAATGTAACCAACTGCTCCATCCACCACTGGAATGTGGTGTCTGGAAGATTCCCCCAAATTCAGTCTGTCACCTCACCACTGTGGCCCAGTTTGCACATCACTCTAAAACATTCTTCTGACAGCAAAGCATACTTCAGAATGCAATTATATATCCTCCTCGCCAGTGATCCCTGGTTTAGTGCTACTTCTGAATTGGACATCACGGGCTTTTTTTCCACTGATACCATACTCAGTAAGCCAATATCAAATTTTAGCTGCAATTATGTTTTTCTGGAAGTGAAAATAAATACAACCCCCAGATTAATGCAAAAAGCAAGGGAGTATGATTTGTTTCATTCACAAACCAGGTGGGGAGGAGAGACAGCCTAGATCAGCACATTCATTGTGAACCATTAACTTGATAATGCAAGAAACCGTAAGGGCCATAATCCTGGAATCTGCACCAGTACCCCCCCAGGTTGCAGAGATTACTACAAGCAGGGCTGGCCAAAACGTTTTTGCACCCAAGGTAAGTGATGTTAAATTCTCGAGAATAATCTTTTGGAGAATATTCTCGATTAATGCGAATATTAGAGAATTTTCATTTAAAGTAGGAGATTATTAATTTTAATGCATTGAAAATTATACAATTAGTTAGTATACATGTTTATTCATGGGCAAACTTGTTCAGATGGCAACCAAAAACTAAATAAAAATATAGAAACGTCAACTGTTTAAATCAAGGCCACCTCACATGCTGTTACACATAATTGTATAGGTCTAGGTACTTTAAGTGTATAAAGCATTAAAGCTACTTTCTGTAATAAAAAAAAATCATCACACTGTATGGCCAAGGGTATAGAATTGCTAAGCATAAGGTCACACCAAAATAGAAAAAAGGGCTATTACATATAGTTGAAATACATTTGAATTCAAATGTTCATCAAATTAAATGAATAGCATTTTTAAAACTAAAAAAACCCACAAATGTTTTCTGTAGCTCACATTTCAGAACTGCCAATGGTGAATGACACAATGCCCAGTAATGTAACTGGATAAAAAAAAATTATTCATTACTTAACACAGCTTGACTTATTATTTACTAGATTTTTAAAATGTGGGTTGTAAAACTGGTTCTTACATTAGAATTTACAGCTGGTGGAAAATATTCTCTGGAGAATTTTCTAGCAGAGAATATTCTCACCTCACATCACTACTAGAGGCAAACCACAAAAAGGGCACCCCCCACCCCTGCAAGGGAAGGAGTAAGATCTATAGTGGGAACAAGGTTGGAGGGCAGGGGAGACAAGCAGTAACTGTTCATCAAGAGGCTGCTGTAGAGGCAACATGGGGGTGGGGGGCTGCCAAGGAAGCAGCAGATCTGGCCTGAAGGGAGCATGCCAAAGCTGTCACCGCCACCATGGCAGCAGCAGTGGGCGTTGCATTCCTTGGAGACTGGATCTGTTGCCCCTGTGGATCCTGCCACCTTAGGTGGTGGCCTCATCTTACCTCATGGGTGGGTCAGCCCTGAGTACAAGCCTTGGGTTCTAGGCACGTGCATCAATTCTAAGAAGTAACACAGGGCTGCCTGAAGCAGGATGTACAAAGGGAACAAATTAAGAAATAAAGCAAGCGTAGAATGAAGAGGAGTATGTAACTATGAGTAGGGAGGTACTTAGCTAGTTTGGAAACAACTACTTTTAAAAATGTAAACAATGAAAAGGCAACTCCATCCAGGCTAGATCAGAATACAAAGAGAGAGCATATAATTAGAATCTGAACTTAGATCTCCCAGTTGCTAGTGCAGCACGGCACTACAGGAAATTAGGCAAGAACATTTTTACAGTCTCTCTCAACAAAAATAGCTCCACATGCATACACATACTTATGCCACATGCTCTCTCAAAGCCCTCGATTAAGTATTCACCCTCAAAAGATTTCAAATATTTAGATATGCTGCAAAACAGCAAAACAGACTGAAAGATTCTTAACTGTGCCATTCAATATATGTCTACTCAGAAAATAGCCTATTGGATGTACTCTCAGGTTTAAGATAGCAATTTAAATCACTATTCAGTTCTTGAATAAAGTATGCATAGCATCCCTGTTTTTGTTAAAGTAACTGCAGAGCTTATTTATTTTTAAAGAACGTAACCTTGGAATCCACAACTGTGTGTGTGTAATTTTCTAAGCATATATAAATGACAGAGACAAAGAAAGAAATGAATGAAGCACACTCTACTCTTAATTGTTATAAGGTATTAAGTAAGCAATCAGAGCTCAAAATTTGCAGTAGACATACTACAATAAGACATAATCTAATTATCTGTGTGACCTAAGAAAGAGGAAGAGAAAAATTAACTTGAATGACCAGCAGCAAACCAAAAGCCCAGGGGCAACATTGCCTTCTGGACAATCTGCCAAGGGACACATACCAGTGGTGAGCAGGGCCAAAGGCAAAAATTAGTGGAGCAACAAATGCACATTCTACTTTTGTACAGTAGGCCACACACTCACATACCCCTCTCTACCCTCCATCCAGGCAGGTAAGAAGTATTATCCATGTTCAAGGACACATTCTAGCCAAACAAAAGCACTCAAAAGGGGTGTGAAGAAGGGCTAGTGAGGAGCATGACCTAGAGGGCTCACTTGGGAGTGTTCTAGTGACCATTAGAAAAACAAGTTCATAAGAAAAAGAGGCACATAACCCTAAAGCAGGTGTGCCCCTATTTCAATAAAGGAATATAATAATGATAATTATATTATTATCTATCTATCTATCTATCTATCTATCTATCTATCTATCTCTCATCTGACTAGGTTGCCCTAGCCACTCTGGGCAGCTTCCAAGAAATTAAAACACAATACAACATCAAACAGTAAAAACTGAACAGGGCTGACTTCAGATGTCTTCTAAAAAGTCAGATATGGTGCTTGCTCTCCCTTCTGACATTTGGGGTCCCTGCTTCAACTCATGCCAACTGTACTTAAATTGCTTCACCTCTGAAAGGCTCCAAATTTCTCTAAGACACCCCACTTTCGGCTTGGAATTAATCTGATGTAGAGTTCAGTTCAGTTCAGATATGAAACTTGACTGGGAACAGAACTTCTCCTAAGAAACATGCTTGCACAACCATCTTAAGAGAACCTTCTTTCTATCTGAGGTGACAGGAAGATGATTGGGAAAAGCTCCCTTGTGGTTGTGGCATCCCATTTTTATGGAATTCACTTCCCAAAGAGGCTTGCCTGTTACCTTCTTTACTATATTTTTAGCACAATGCAAAAACACTTTTATTCTCCTGGGTTTTTAAGATCAATGTATTTTATTAACAACCTGTTTTATTACTCCATTTTTACCCCGCTGCTTTATTTGCTGCTGATGTGTTTGTATTTTTATAAAATAAATATTGAAGCGAAAAGGGAAGCAAAGCAGGAGAGAGTGAGGTAATAGGTATGACAATATACTGAACTGAAATCCTATTTTTAAATAAAAACAAATTTGCTTTCTACTCCCCATCATTTCATCAACAGTCATGCAATCTATGGTATCTTTCTTTCCACAAACACCTAGCACCTCCTTTAATGAGCAAAAGCCAGAAACAAATTAGATACAGTCAACTCACAACGTATGCATGTTTAGCTTGTGTGAATTCTGCTTTATGCACTTGGCCAAAAAACAAAAAATTAAAAAGGGAGCATCAGGAACGTTTTGACTATACATGATTTTGACTTTATGTGCTATCCCCAGAACATACCCCCATGTAAGTTGAGTCGACAGTACAGTGGTACCTCAGTTTTCGAGAGTCTTGGAAGCCAAACGTTTCGTTTTTGGAACGCTTCCATTTTCGAATGTGCCTCACAAGTCAAATGGCTTCCACTGCGTGTTTGGTTTTTTTTTCAATTTTCTCGATTGATTTTGCAATGAGCTCTTTCCGTCTTGGTTGTTGAACATTTCGGAAGTCGAAAGGTCTTCCACAATGGATAACATTTGACAACCGAGGTACCAATGTATAGCTAATTACAGTAAGGGTTTTTGCAGTTTACCTCGTTATAAAAAAGGCAGGTGTTATTTATCTTGCTGGGGAAAAAATTATTTATCTTGCTGGAAAAAGACAAATTGTCAAATTCTGTATGTGTATACAACATGAATTCCCAGCTTATCTCCACTGCAAAACCTGTGCTGAAGAACACACACATGCAAAACAGATGCAGAATTGTGTTCAAGGCACTTGATCCTGAGCCTCTGTGGTCCTTAGGATACCTCTAACAAGGCATAGCCTTTAAACTGAAAAACATCAACAAAACCTAAGAAGCTTGGATCCCAATATCTGCTCACAGAAGGAGGTTTATCTAAGGAGAACTTGACTGTGCCCAGTTTGGGGCAATTCCACTCTCCATCATAGCCCAGAATCCAAACATTTAGGAAATGTTTTTTTAAGGAGGCTTGGAGGTTTGCATGTAGGGCTGTTCAATAAATCGCCATATCGTTGGAATACCAGTATTGAAATAACATCATGGTAAGTGTTTCAACAAGCCAATATACCGGTGAACAAAAGTGGGTAGCTCAGCTGAATGATACTTTGCAAATAATTTGCATGCAAGTGTCTACTGCTTTTTTTGCTCTCTCCCTCCTCACAGATAAGAAATGAAGATAAGCCCTCACACAAACCAGCAAACTCTTTCAGCTTTACTGGTATCTATCCACTTAGCTCAGCTAATTATGCAAAGCTTGCTAACAATCCAGGAGGAACACCCCCCCCACTAGACAATCAAAATGGCAAAGTAAACAAAGAACTGGAAAGCACTTCTTTCTTCTCTCACCAGTGGAAAAAAAAGGGGGGTATTTTTATTTTCTGTTATTGATATTGTTGGTTCCCCCTAAACAGCTTTCTTCCATATTAAAAATGATGTTTTTTAATTTAAAGGAGACAAACCTAGACAGCATCTTAAAAAGCAGAGACATCACCTTGCCAACTAAGATCCATATAGTTAAAGCTATGGTTTTCCCAGTAGTGATGTATGGAAGTGAGAGCTGGGCCATAAAGAAGGCTGATCACGAAAGAATAGATCCTTTTGAATTACGGTGCTGCAGGAGACTCTTGAGAGTCCCATGGACTGCAAGAAGATCAAACCTATCCATTCTGAAGGAAATCAGCCCTGAGTGCTCACTGGAAGGACAGATCCTGAAGCTGAGGCTCCAATACTTTGGCCACCTCATGAGAAGAGAAGATTCCCTGGAAAAGACCCTGATGTTGGGAAAGATGGAGGGCACAAGGAGAAGGGGACGACAGAGGACGAGATGGTTGGACGGTGTTCTCGAAGCTACAAACATGCGTTTGACCAAGCTGTGGGAGACAGTGGAAGACAGGAGTTCCTGGCGTGCTCTGGTCCATGGGGTCACGACTAAACAAATAAACAACAGCAACAATGTTTTTGCTTGCTTGTCCTCCCTCCCTTCTATAAAAAGGGAAATATTGGTGGGATGAGGGTTGGGGGGGGGCTTTCAGGTGGGAATGGAAGAAGATTGAGCTGGCTGCCTTATGCTGAAATGGGAGATTGGGTACTATGTAAGAATGATGGGGAGGGTGTTTTTCAGAAAGCAGTGAAAGCAAATGTGTGTCTATTCACAAGCAAGCCCTACTGAATTCAATGGGGCTCATTCCCAGGAAAGTAGAAGCTTAGTTGAACTCAGTAGGGCTTATGCATGCAGATTTCACTTAGACCTCTGAGTGGGGAAGCAGATGCAACATGACTAGTAAATCACTTAAACTACTCATAAGTTAGTTGAAAATATATTAAATATAATATATGGAAGTTTCTTTAATATTTTTATTAAATCTACTACTTCCTTACATTTTAAGGCCCGCCACCGCCAAAGGGAGCCTCGTCAAGGCCCTCTGCTGCTGTGGGGTGCTGTGCTGTGTGGCACAGCAAACCCTCCACCACTGTGGGGTGGTACGGTGGGACCCTCTGCCATCCCAAGGAGGCGCAGAAAGACCCTCTGCTACTGCAGGGAAACATGGCGCACCCTCCCACACCACTGGGAGGCATGGCAAGACCCTCTGCCCCTCGCGGAGGCCCAGCAAGGCCCTCCGCCACTGCAGATATATATTGTGATATATCAAGATACCATGAGATTTAGATGGTGATATATCATGATGTTGAAAACTAGATGTCATCCAGCCCTATTTGCAGGGGGCATGAAAGTGCTTTTCCACCAACTCCCTTCTTCTTGAGCACTTCTTAATAGCAAACCATACAGAACATGTAGCCAAACCCCACCTTAAGCATCCACTAATCAGGTCAAACAGTGAGCAGTTACCTTACCCAGAAAATTCTGAAGGCATGGGCTGAAGGAAGCAAACCAATTCTAACACTCAGTACAGCAGCAAAACACCCAAGACCTAAGATTTTATATGGAGCCCTCCAAGCCATAGTGATGGGCTTGCAACCAAACTAGGGCCAGATAAGACAATTCAAGGAGAAGGTACAGAACTGATTCTTAGGCCCTAAGTAAGTAGTGGAAACTATGTCTGCACACAAAGCAGTGAGGGTCCTCATCTCTCAGGTACAAACAACCTAATAGGAAAGCTCTGTCAATGTTAAGAATAGCCAGGGAATTAGAATTTACATGTAAATACTTCAATTTCATATTATTAATCCTGCCTGAATGTGTAGGATATAAATATTTTAATAAATAAGCTAAAGGACACAGTTGCTAGTTGTGTGCAGCAAGGAGCTTCTGGTCCTTTTCAACAGGAGTTAGAGCAGGGGTCAGCAACCTTTTTCAGCCGTGGGCTGGTCCACCGCCCCTCAGACCATGTGGTGGGCCAGACTATATTTTGAAAAAAAAGAGAACAAATTCCTGTGCCCCACAAATAACCCAGAGATGCATTTGAAATAAAAGCACACATTCTACTCATGTAAAAACACCAGGCAGGCCCCACAAATAACCCAGAGATGCATTTTAAATAAAAGGACACATTCTACTCATGTAAAAACATGCTGATTCCCAGACCGTCCGTGGGCCGGATTGAGAAGGCGATTGGGCCGCATCCGGACCACAGACCTTAGGTTGCCTACCCCTGAATTAGAGGTTCACTACAGAAAGCAGGCAGTGGCTGAGGCGGTAGAATAGGGCACAGGAACTCTGGGGCAGGAGGCACCATTCTTTCCATGGGAATGGTGTCTTCCTACATGACAGAGGCTGCAACTGCTGCATTCCATTTGACACTCTCCACCCCTGAATCCTTCCCCTGTGGCAAACTGCAACCTGCTTTTTCAATTTTCAATAAAAGACAATTTAGTAAAAATAATAAAAATAAAATTTCAAACAACGTACATGGCAACTTCTTGTAGGTGATTAAGTAAGGTAAAAAATAAGTGCTTTGTTACAAGCACGATTGTGAAGTTAGTTGCAATAAAGATGTTTTTTCTCACAAACATTCCACAAATTAAATCCACAGGAGTAGTCGGTTTCCCCCCAGAATTTAAATGTGTTACAAAAGAACTATCAGCTTGGTAACTCCATGTTTCACCTAACCACCCTTCAATGCATGCTTAGTTTCCAGGTAGCAGGTAGTATTCAAATAATAAAAGAAAATTGCTTACTGAACTCACTAGGACAGGGACTCTTAAACTGTCAAAGCAAACCTTCCTAAATTAAGATGGAAAACTATGTTTTGGTTTGTATGAGGCCCCTTATCATTTTTGTAGCTTGTGGTCTGAGAAGACAATTGAATCCAACTAATAATTTAAATACTAGCATGCAATGATCTCACAAAAGTTGTTTTTGTTTTGTTTTTAACTTGCAGAGAAATAGCTGCTCTGCTGATCCCCAAAATTGGTAATTCAACACAGGAACACATGCCACCAAGAAACACAATGGAATGAGTTAAGTGTCTCAAGCTGTTTTGAAGAACCATTGCTCTAAATTTTCAAGTTTTTTTTTTTAAAGGAAATTCTATCATACTGAATAGAAAAGAAACCTGTTCATGTATATAATGGCAGGCAGTAACTGTACTGGACAAGTGCAGAATCTGAAACCCTGTTGTGTTGTAGAAATGGCATAAGTGAGGTAGTTTCTAACGGAAACAGTAATCTAAATCCAAATAACTGTGCAACCTGTTCCACATACCAATGGGCTTGAACAGTGGCCCTCTTTACTTCCTGGCAAACCTCTCTTGAATATAAAGAAATTTTGAAGGGAGTGTGTGATATGTATAGGGGGCAGAAGTTCAAAGGGCAGAAAGCATACCTAAACCAGGGTAGATAAAAAATTAATGATTTTTTAAAATCAGATTTTTAAAAATTTACATTGGATTTTTAAAATAAAATGCTTTTGGAGGGGAAATCTTTCTGAATATAGTTTTCTATTTAAGTTATATTATAGTTCAAAGGCTATTCATCATGAAATAAGGATTTGTTTTAAGTTTTTCATGTGTGCCAAAACTCAGTCTAAGGTGTGTGTGTTTTTTAAAAAAAATATTGTTTAACCACATCAGTTAACAAACATGGATACATATGCTATAATGTTATTGTTTTAGTTAAATAAATTGTTTAAATTGTTATTAAGGAAATGATTATTTTTCTTCTTCCAATAAAGTACAGCAGAAAAGTTGTCCAAATATAAACAGTTAACTTATTAAACCTCACAATAATTTCATAATTACCTGTCAATGTATTTCTAATAGTATAACCAAATCAGTAATTTTTGATATAACTATAAAAACTACTCTGAAAATTTATTATTCCAAACCTTCATCTGGTTGTAAATATTAAGATTATACCAGCAAAAATGAGTCTTTCTGTAAAAAAATGATTTAAATCAAGTCTTACTGACTAGTGATTTGAATTGATTTGATTTAAATCAAATCCACCCTCACCTAAACTACCGTAGTTCTTTGGATCATAACCATTGTCATTTGGTCTGTCAAAACTTAAGAAATGAGAGGAGCTATTCTGTAGCTAGCCAGATCTATACAGTCATACCTCTTGTTACGTCCACTTCAGGTTGCGCGTTTTCAGGTTACGTCCCATGGTGACCCGGAAGTACCGGAAAGGGTTACTTCCAGGTTTCGCTGCTCGCACATGCGCAGATACACAAAATGATGTCATGCGCAGAAGCAGCGAATCGCAACCCGCACGTGCGCAGACATGGGTTGCGTTCCGTTCAGATTGCGAACGGGGCTCCGGAACAGATCCCGTTCACAACCTGAGGTGCCACTGTACAAGCAAGAGTCTGGTCCTGGAAGTGTGACAGTAAAAAACAAAGCAAACCTTTAGCAATACAACTGGCGGTGCAGGGGAGGGGGTTTAGAAACAGAAAAGTAGGGGAAAGGCAGACTGAATTATTTAACAATACAACCTCCTCACTCAGAATAATATACTGGGCATAAATTGACTGTCTCCTGCTGCAAAAACTACAATTTGCTTATTCCATGCTTATTTAAAGAGAGAAAGAAAAGTTTCCAGCAATATTTTTCAAACTGGATCTTCCTCTATACCAGAGATGCTGTGTGAAAAAAGTGAATATAATATAGCCTTTAATTTGCCATTTGCCCACTCACCAGCAGCAAGAAGAAACTCTCCAAAGAAGAACAAACTGTATGTGACCCATGTGGAGGACTCTTGGTCTCCCACTTTGCAAGCAATTACAAATTTAGGGGGTATGCAGGAGGGAGAGAGGGGAGCAAAGTCCCACTGATAAGGCATAAGGTGATTAATGCTGCACAGTGCTGTTTAATGCTACATTGTATACAACCTGTCTATCTCGCCACCCTTCCACTGCATTATGCGAAATGTTCTCTCAGAGTCAAGGGTTTATCTTTGCATTTTCTGCCTTAAAACTCTCTTTACCATATACAGTCTACCAAAAATGACCCCAACAAAAACTACCATGGTGATTGAAAGTATGGCTCAACTCATTCAGCATTCAGTTTCTACTCAAAATATTCACAAGCAGGCTATTCCTTATTGATTTTCAGATGTATACTGTTCCTGAATACTGAAGCTCCATTTCTGCTTTCATGACTATTAACCACGGATAGAACCACTGTATTCTGTGATTTTGTCCAATAAAAATAAAACCTAACTAAGATTCTACATTTTATTCTCAAAGTTTAGTGTGCCTTGTGTGAAGTACAGTGGTACCTCAGGTTACGTACTTAATTTGTTCTGGAGGTCCGTTCTTAACCCGAAACCGTTCTTAACCTGAGGCACGCTTTCGCTAATGGGGCCTCCTGCTGCCGCCGGCGCGCAATTTCCGTTCTCATCCTGGAGCAAAGTTTGTAACCTGAGGTACTACTTCTGAGTTAGCAGAGTGTGTAACCCAAAGTGTCTATAACCCGAGGTGTTTGTAACCCGAGGTCCCACTGTACCTGCTTTTGTCTGTTTTGAACTGACTGCCAATATCACTGGAACATCACAATACAGTGATACCTCTGGTTGCGAACAGGATCTGTTCTGGAGGCCGGTTCGCAACATGAAAGGAACGCAACCTGCAGTGGCGCGTCTGCGCACGCGCAGGTTGAAATTTGCCGCTTCTGGGCATGCATGCGTGTCTGTGCATGCACAAGCAGCAAAACCTGGAAGTAACCCTTTCCAGTACTTCCGGGTCGCCACGGGATGCAACCTGAAAAAACGTAACATGAGGTATGACTGTAATTTGTATTGAGAGAAATAAATACAATTAATCTACCCACTCTCTTCAGGCTGTTAATAATCTTATAAATATTTGTCATACCCTTTATTGGCTGTCGTTTTACTATAAGTAAAAAGCACCAAAAGCTTTCAGGTGAGGTGCACCAAACCCATTTATCTTAGCTTCCCCCTGTTGGGCCTTTTCAAGTTATACAGCAGATTTTTTTTCTGGGAGGGGAAGTGGGGGAGACATCAAGCATAAATGTACAAAATATTAAAAGTGTGACCACACTGTGGACTACAGCTAGATTTTCTCTAAAGGAGGAACAGAGATCCAGCAGGCACACCAGAAAAGAATGAGACTGCACTGTTCACACCAAAACCACCTTCCATGCTGTTACAGAGTGCCCCCCCAATCTTCCAGAGCAGCTTTTTAGTGAACATGGAGTGGGAGAATGAGTAAAAATGGTTACTCCACCCTCTTCTTCCAGCACAGGCAGAACTCTACTGAGTGCAAGCCTGGATCCAGCACCATTAGATTTACAGAATGTCCCAATGCTATTGGTGTTTTATTTTCTGTCCCTTCCCTACTACAGCCATACCTCAGGTTGAAGTGCTGTATTTTTCACTCTATAAGACGCACCCGACCATAAGACACACCTAGTTTTTAGAGGAAAACAAGAAACAAGAAAGCAACGCAAAGCCTCTTGAGCGAAGAGGCAGGAGCGCTCCGGCTGCGCTCAAGAGGCTTTGCAGGGCTATCACTGAAGCCAGGAGAGCAAGAGGGATCGGTATGCACCAATCCCTCTTGCTCTTTTGGCTTCAGCAATAGCTGCGCAGCCTGCATTCGCTCCATAAGACGCACACACATTTCCCCTTACTTTTTAGGAGAAAAGTGTGTCTTATAGAGCGAAAAATACCGTAGCTTCGGGATAAGTATTTTCGGGTTATGCGCTGCGGCGACCTAGAAGTAACGGAGCGTGTTACTTCCGGGTTTCGCCGCTCGCGCATGTGCAGAGGTGGCAAATTGCGACCCGCGCACGCGCAGATGCGGATTGCGTTCACTTCTGGATGTGAACGGGGCCCCAGAACGGATCCCGTTCGCATCCAGAAGTACCACTGTAACCTTTTAGCACCGACCTCCCCACCCTTTTCATTGCCAAAGCTTGGAAACTTCTTTTTTAACACCTCTATTCCCTTTTCTTTTTATGTAATAAAAAGCAAAGGTGTAGAGAAGGGAAAGGGCAGGACACGGGAGGGGGGTGTAAAGGGAGGGAGGATATAGGTCAGATTGAAATGCCTATATCAGGGGTCAGCAAACTTTTTCAGCAGGGGGCCAGTCCACTGTCCCTCAGACCTTGTAGTGGGCTGGACTATATTTTGAAGAAAAAAATGAACGAATTCCTATGCCCCACAAATAACCCAGAGATGCATTTTAAATAAAAGCACACATTCTACTCATGTAAAAACACGCTGATTCCCAGACCGTCCATGGGCCGGATTTAGAAGGCGATTGGGCCGCATTCGGTCCCCGGGCCTTAGTTTGCTTACCCATGGTTTATATACTTGGAAACACTTCCTAGCTCAGGAAGTTGTTCTAGGAACAAAGATCTAGTTACTACCAACAGTACAACCAGCCCCAAAGCAGAAATGACACTTTGGGCAAAGAATTCAATATAAGAGGCCCATCTGGAATAAGAGAAATTTGGAAATCGCAGTCTACAGAAGAATGCTTGTTCAAATACAGAAAGCATACTAAGATCCTCAGTCCTTTGTACCACCACTGGCAAAGATTTGGCATTTTCAGTAAGCTTTCTACTGTGACTCCAAGATCTCTTTCCTCAACAGTTACAGCCACTTTTGACATCCTCAGTTTATGAGACATTATTTTGGTTTATTTATTTGTTTAATGTGCTCAAGGTTACATTGAATCTAATGTACTAGTTGGTTCCTAGTCAACCAGTTTGAAAAGGTCGTTTGGGAGTTCTCCACAGCCTGCACATCCTGAATAATTCTGTGCAATCAATAAATTATATTTATTTCACCCTACTCCAGTTCACTGATTAATAACCAGAATTATTCCAAATTAAGATTCTTGGGGAACTCCATTGTTAACTTCCCTTTAATGCAAACCACCTGTTGATTTATTCAACTCCCTTTTTAAGCAGTTACTGATAAAAATTGCTTAGAAAATCTGTAATTTTTCAAAATATATTTAAATCCAAATTTAGCCTTTATCTACCAAATCATTCTAATTTCACGTCTACTGACACTATCTAAAAATTATCTAAAATCTAGTGAAGCAATATTTTCTGTTGCAGAAAAAAAAGAATAATTCTGTGTCATCTAACATAACATAACATAACATAACATAACAACATAACATTACATTACATTTCTGTCCTTTGCAGTACTATCAGTTTACACGGGCAAGCATGATAGGAAATGTGGTTCATGTACAGCCAAAGGTTCCCAACTGTTTTTGTCTCAAAATCTTGTGTCGCTCCACTTGAGTCTTCAAAATCATTTCCTCAAAACCATCAATTCTTCTACAATGAAAATTGGTGTAAATAGTTCATTTAGCTTCTATAGAGTCTCCCTGTCATCTTTCAATACTTCTTTCCCCCCAATAGCTATCTAATAGTCCCATTGGCTGTGTGACTGATTTCCTGTTTCAGACTATTAAAAAAATATTTTTATTTCATATTAATATCAAAATTTGGTTCATATCATAAGATAACAGTAAGAATACTAGCATCAAAGAGTTTGGCTGCAACTAGTAACATGTAATAACTGGTGGCTATGACTTTGTATCCTCATTCACAACACACTTCATATCAAGACAGTTAAACAGAGCTTGGATGAGCATGTACATCCAGGTGCATTTCCACATGTGTGCAAGCTAGCTTACACACATATAAACTAGCTTGCACACATGTGGAAATGCACCTGGATGTACATGCTCATGTATATTTCTTTTTACAAAATCATGGCATTTGACTTGCTCAATAATGGTTTACTTTACCATCAATTACCCTTCATATGCCTGAGTTTGTGCTTCCCACCCCCACCTTTATTTTAAGAAAATTTACCCTTTAAGATTAAAAGGACTGACTGCATTAGGTCTTCTGGAAAATTCTCAATTTGCACTGAAGTTAAATATGATACTACTATGGCCACAGTATCCAAATGGTTTGGCAATGCTTAGGTCTCACAGCAGATCCTCATCAACATTAACAATGCAATCCTATGCTCACTCACCTTCCACTGAACTCAGTGGGGATTACTTCTGAGCAGACATATCTAGAATTGCATTGTTAGTAAATCAAAAGTCATCTTTCTTCTTGATAGCTCCATGGTCACTGCTGCAATCATCTGCAAATCTATTGGACAATATATCCCATTAAACACACTGGGACTTAATTATGAGGAAACATGCACAGGACTGGGCTGAAACTATCACAGTTACAAAGCCAAGCAAGGTCCGGTATGGTTTCAAACTGGGTGGGGACGGAGTGTTCAGATTCCTGCATTGCAGGGGGTTGGACTAGATTACCCTTGGGGGTCCCCTCCAAGTTTCAACTCTACAATTCTATGATACTCCAAGATGCACTTACTTTTACTTTAAGTGCATCTGTGTCAAGTGTTGTCTCTTTCCTTTGCTCAAACTAAAGAGGAAATTTTTTTACGTAATCCACTGAACTGATTAAATTCAGTCACTGTTGTTGCATTCCCATTAGGCTAAATCAAAAGACCAAGTTCTAGAAAGCTGACGTCACTTGGGCTGTTTCACACACTCTAAAACCCTCCAAGTGGAATGCAAACCCTGGGGAGGAAACAACATCTGACTATGGCCACAGTAAGAGGCACCATTTCCCATCAACAACTGTCCCAACAAGGGAGGCAAACAAATGGATGGAAACATTCATGTGGCTGTCTACTGGAAAGCAGTGCATTTATGACAGGTGTGTTGATACTTCCTGTCTTTGGGCTGTGTTCACACTCCGAAAACCTTTTCAGAATATCCGAACACAGCATTTTGTGTAGCTCAAACTGAACTAAAACTTGATTTCAAAGTGTGTAAATTCCATTATTTATTAGCTTAAGAAACTTACACAGCTATCTTCAGTTTGCGTTAGCAAAGACAATAGAATACAGTGGTACCTCGGGTTACATACACTTCAGGTTACAGGCTCCGCTAACCCAGAAATAATACCTCAGGTTAAGAACTTTGCTTCAGGATGAGAACAGAAATCGTGTTCCAGCGGCAGGGCGGCAGCGCGAGGCCCCATTAGCTAAAGTGGTGCTTCAGGTTAAGAACAGTTTCAGGTTAAGAACGGACCTCCGGAACGAATTAAGTATTTAACCCGAGGTACCACTGTATAGGTTTAGGCCATGGGTAGAAAAACTAAGGCCTGGGGACCGGATCCGGCCCAATCGCCTTCTAAATCTGGCCCGTGGAAAGTCTGGGGATCAGTGTGTTTTTACATGAGTAGAATGTGTCCTTTTATTTAAAATGCATCTCTGGGTTATTTGTGGGGCATAGAAATTCGTTCATTATTCCCCCCCCAAAAAAAAATATAGTCTGGCCCCCCACAAGGTCTGATGGACAGCGGACCACCCTCTTGCTGAAAAAGTTTGCTGACCCTTGGTTTAGGCTGTGACTTCTTGTTGAGTTCACAGCAAAACTACCAAGCTGCAAGTACATTTCTGTAAATTTTCATTGTATGTTAATAATTTAGGATTCTGCCATGCTGCTGGTAAATACCATGAAAAGGCTTGTGTTATAAGGCTTTAGGCAGGGCTGGGGAACCTTAGACCCTCCAGATGTTGCTGGACTACAACTCTCATCAACTCAGCCTGCATGGCCAATGAGCGAGATGATGGGATTGTTAGTCCAGCAGCAGCTGAAGGGCCCCAGGGTCCCCACCAGCTTTAGGCTGCAAACTTATCTGGGAGTAGCCCATCAAATTCAACATCACTTACCTCTGAGTGGACATGGCTAGAAGTGCACTGTTACTAAGTACAGAATACCACCTCCTAACATTTTTAAAGAAGTTTTTCATTCTGATAGCTGCAGAACTGCTAAGAATGGTGATGATTATATGTGGTATGTGAAATGTGCTAGTAGTTTTTTTTTAAAAAAAAAAGAAAACGAAGCTTAGTAAAATATTTTTTAATCTACTATTTAATGCACAGCAGTCTCTCGTGCTTTATGCATAAATTAGATTTTAAAACATGTATGCATTGATATCATCAAAATTAACGCTGCCTTTATAACCAGAGTGGTGCAGCTAAAGGCTGGACCATAGAGCTAAATTCTAGGGCCTCACAGTCCAGCCCTCCACCAGTGACCACCTAGAGCAGAAAAGATGATGTACTAATTCTATTTGAGTGGAACTGCATCTAATTATTGTAGCTACTCAAGTGGCACTATTGTCATGTTCCACTTATACCTTACAATCATAAGCAACACTACAAAGTTACATCTATTCCACTTCATGTTTCTGTGATTCTGTACCAGCAGAACTGATCCCTAAAAAAGCTATGCAAGTACTAACTAAAAAATAAAATAGTTATTTACACCAGGCAGGGGGAGAAGAGAGATAGAGCACCTCTTTATTAGGGGTCCACCATTTAATAAGATTAATCAGTACCCTGATCCTGCCAAGCCAGTTGTAGAATCGGTTCAAACAATGTAATTTGGGTTACCTTGCCGCAGAAGTCATTCCCTACTTTAAAGAACAAGAGTATACCCAGTCTAGTCATAAACTCTGTCAACCCACACTACTTTAAGATCTCTGGTCCATTTCTAGAAGCACTGTATTCATTATCATCAATGGCAATTACAAGCAAAACTGACTGAAATGTGACTAAAATGTTTTCCACGTACAACTGCATGAAGGAAATAAAATTGAGGTTACTTTATAATGCCTCACCGCATGTATATACCCACCCTATTACATCAGAGAGACCCACTTGTAATCTGCCATAGTAGCCTTTATGTTTTTCTCAAACAGAAATAGAGAGCAACAAAGAGGATGTGAATGCAGTGAAATTCAATTTATTTAAAGTTAGAACAGCCTTCTTGAGTCTCCAGATCCTGTTGGACTACAAATCCCACCCTCCTTGACCATTGGCTACGCAGGCTACGGGTGTTCCGAATTGGAGTCAAACAACATCTGGGAAGACAAGTTTGAATAAGGCTTAGTAAGAAGTCCTATTCTAAAAGGGGAGCAGATAGGCAAACACACATAATCATCACCCCAGCATCAACATCAAGCAAGACAGTCTGGAAGAAAAAATCTAAGCATGTTCATTTGAACATGTCTAGAAGCTTCCCCAAAATTGGAAATCCTGCCTTATTCAACCAAACACACATAGAACTTCCTTCAGATGTTTATGCTGAACGTGTGACTGTCTGAAGAGCCTGCCATGCAGGGGCACTGCGGCAGAACTTGCGTGTGCACTCCAGTCCCTCCCCCACTTTTACCTCTTGCATGTTCAATAGGGCTATAGAAATGGCAAGGATACCATTTTAAGGATGGATACTGTATCCTCAAACCCCTTTTGTCAACTGGAACTACTGCAAAGAGGAAGAGACAGCACCTTGAGCCAAAAATATCTGCGTTCCAAAGAAAGAGAAGTCCAGGGTCAGGCTTTTTTGGTGGCCACTCCATAGGAGGGAGTATGCACACTGGACCTGGTGCATCTTTAATAACTAAGCTTGGTCTGGGCCAGGCATAGGCAAACCTGGCCCTCCAGATGTTTTCGGACTACAACTCCCACCATCCCTAGCTAACAGGACCAGTGGTCAGGGATGATGGGAGTTGTAGTCCCAAAACATCTGGAGGGCTGAGTTTGCCTATGCCTGGTATAGGCTAAGAATGGTTGGTTCCCATCTTGTCCAAGGAGCCCTTTCTTCTGTTTGAGCCACTTCCTCTCTATGGAGACAGAACCCAGCACCAGACTTGCATCTGTAGCCCAGCACAGAAGCTCAATGGGAAAGGTCCCAATGAAAAACAGTCAACCAGTGCCAGGTTTTTCTGTCAACAATTTCATGGGGAAGTATTGAGAATGGCATAGGATACCAGATCAGAAATGGCAGGCATGTACAGAGGAACCCTCACAAAAGAGTAGGTATCAAGATATACTGAGGGTTTAATTATGTCAGTGGTTTCCAAACTTTTCCCCCTCATGGATCATTTGAAAACTGAAGGGTCTTAGTGGACTATTTAATGATTTTTAATGATGCACTGTCCAAGATGCTTTATGATTTTTATTTGTATATTTATTGCTTCTTATATATTTTATAATAACTACAATACTAAATAAAAGACAATTAAAAATCAGCATGACTATTTAATGCAATGAATATGCCATCTCTTGTCTTTAGCCACAAATCCAGACAAGCTGTGGACCACATGAATGAAGCTCACAAGTGACTGGATGGTCCGCAGGCCAGTTTGGGAATTCCTGATGTATGTAAACCTCTTTGTGGAGTTCATCAGAAGAATATGTAAATGTATAAATTAAATATTTGTTTCAAAGTTAATCCCACTGATATCAATGTGATTTCTTAGTAAGCATGGCTAGCATTGGGCTTGAAGCTTACTAACTATGCAATCCTATAAATGTCTACTCAAATAAGGCCCATTGCTTTCAATGTTAAAACCAAGTAAGTGTGCATAGGATTGCATTAGAACATTAATATTATTCATATTTATTAGTTGCCTTCCTCACAAATGTGGCTGAAAGGAGATATATATATTTTAAGTGGCAGTCTAAGTGGGCCAGATATCTGCACAAAAGACACTGTGGGTCATAGAGCCGTACTAGGAAGTAAGACACTGGACACGGTGGGACTTAGTTCTGGCTAAACATGCACATGATTGTACAGCAAGGCTTCAACCTAACCTATCTGTGAGAATGTCCGAAAGAGACTAGCGAATTTTGTTTTCAAGAGACATATTTCATATTTAACTGTAAATTATGACTGCTTTTCAAAACAACCATTAATAAAGGTTGTATATGTTGGAATCATTTAAAATGTTTTTATTAAAATTATACACAAAATTTGCAAAATTTAATAACCAGATTTAAAAAAGAATATTAATTCCACTCTCTACAAAGTGTAAGTTGCCTGAAACGATATAAATCTGATCTCTTTTACACTAAACAGCTACTGGAAAAAAGCAGTTAAATTAGTAAATATAAACTACATTATAGTTTGCTTTAAAAATACACATTTGCATTAATGCACTTCCTAAAAGGGTTAAGACAGTTGAAGTATTAACAATACTCAATATATTATAAATTATAATGCAAAAAAATACAATGAGGTCATAATCATGAGTTACCAATGATTACAAAGATGCCTCTCTGTTTTAACAGTCAAACAAGGAAGCCAATCACAAAGTGTGCGACCTTCTTCTAACAGTCACAACCAATCCAACACACAGTGGGCTGGCAATGAGGCGGAGAAATCGTTTCATTGAAGAAATTTCTGAGGATGCATTTACTATCAGCTCTGCATGCAAGCACAGCCACTTTAGAGGGGCAGCTTGTACACAGAACAATATGCAACTCCAGCTTTTAAGACAACTAATTCAGCAGGTTTGCTCAAGAAACACAAATAATACAGACAGCAGGTGTCTTATCTATAACATACAGCAAAGAATTATACCTATACTACAAAAGCAACCTTAACATTTAATTGAAATCATAACAATGAATTAAATCAAACTATCACAACCTAATAGAGATGTGAACTAACAGAAAGCTGGTATTTCACACCTGCAGCCCATTACATACATTCAACCACTACAAACAACTGTCATCATTTCCAACATTAGTGGTCACTTGCAGACACTTCTGTTGTGAATCATTAAGTCTCAATTACAATTCTATACACATTTATTTAGCAGTAAGCCCCATTGAACTCAGTGGTAGTTGCTTCTGAGTATATGCATGTACTGGATTGTGCTGTCAGTGTTGTTTTGGCAACAGAAACAAATCAAAATATAACGGAACAGTGCTGGATCACACAGATTAACGTAAACCATAAAAATCCCGTGTTTTTGTTCTGCACGGCTCACAGGTTAGCCAAAGCAAACTGGCAGCGTTAAGCCCCACTTGGATGCAGAAGTGCGGGCTGTCAAAATAATATGACAGCTTCCGAGTCTTGGAATATGGTCCATTCCCTGCGAGCTAAGCACATCACTATTTCATTAAACTCAAACGGAAGCAGGACCCTGCTTCCTTTCCCCTAACGTACATCTCTGCTATTTACCCAGCCAGATACAGCGCTGCCATCCCTCGCTGTGCTGCTACGAGAGCAGCCAGCTGCGAATGTGTACGAAACAGTATCTGCTATAAGGGAGGTCTGATGCCCTGGAATAAAGACACTCCGTCAAAAGCAAGGAAGCATATGGGAAACTCTAGGAGCGGCTGCCGTTTTAAGCCCAAGCCCGCCTAATGCACAGAAACTGAAGACCAAACAGCAGCAGCAGAAGACAAGCTCCGACAAAAACGGCCGGCGCGCACACTCTCCCATTCAAGGACGCCTTTTGCGCTTCCCTTCCCTTCCGCCAGCGTAAGAGCCTTCCCCTCTCACTCTCCCCGCCCCTCCTTAATCAAAACACTTCGCGAGTCCTGGGGACGCAAAGAAGATGGCGGAGCAAGGCCCCGCTTACGGCGCCGGAGGAGAGTTTACGCTGCGCTGTTTACGCAGGACCCCATAGGGAGCGTGCGCCGCTGCGGCGGCGAGCGTGCGTAGCGGCGCTTGGTGAATGCCAATGGCCTATTTCCCGTGAGGGGAGGGGGGGTGGAGATGTCTGATAAACAATGGTGCCCCCCCCCACTTGCGCGACTCCCTTACCGATTCCTCCTCCTTCTCCATGCCAGTCGGCATCTGCGGCACGGCGCGGTTGATGGAGACGCAGTCATTGAGGTCGGGCATATCCTTGCCGCGGTAGATGGGCAGCGGTTTGGCGGCGTCTAGCGCCCGAGCTCGGAAGGAGAGTTTGCTCATTGTCTCCCCCTCACAATAACACCCCGGGGCCGGGCTGGGGGGGAGTGTGTGTGAGGGGGGACCCCCTCACTACGGCCTCGCCGCCGCCGCCTCCCAGCCGCTCCCGGACCCGGCCCGACACACCATGGAGAGCCCTGCCGCCCCGGAACAGCTCCGCCGAAGAGCCGCCCGCAGCCCTAGGTCCGCGCCGGGCTCGCTCGATCCTCTCCCTGCGCCATGGCAAACATGGCGGACATTAACCAAAGCGGCCAGCGATCCCGGCAGCCAACGCGAGAGCGCGGGGAGAGGGAGGGGTGGGGAGAGAGGAGAAGTGCGAGCGCGCGAGCGGAGCGAGGAGGGGTGGGAGGGGGGAAGAGAAAGAGAAGCGGGGAGAGCGAGGGGGGGGAAAGGCTGCGCGCGCAGCCCCAGCCGGGTAACCCGCAGAGCGGGCTGAGGGATACGAGACCCTGCCGCCGCCGCCGCCTCGCTCAGCTTCCCGCCCCCACCCGCTCGCCGTTCGTTCGCCTCAGCGAACGCCGCTGCCGAAGGCGATAAAGCGGCCGAGGCGCTACTGAGGGGAGAGCGACAAGAGCGCCGTCGGACCTTTCCTTCCCACCACCAAACTTCCACCCCCCCCCAAAAATGCATAAAACACACATGCCTTCTCCAGTTAAACCCTCTATTTATAAAGGAATTGCCGGCTTCACACATGCCTCTTTCACACGGGTTCGAGAGCCCAATACGAACGGGGACCGGCACGTGTATGAGGAGGACGGGGGGTGGGGAGCAATGGGCGCTAGGAAGGTCCCTGTTGAACGCTGAACCCAGGGCAAACCTGGGTCTGGATTTCTTCTGCGTAATGTGTGAAGCTGGCCGGGTGACTGGAATAAGAGGTGAAGAACAGAGCTCCCATGCTTTTTTTCTTCTGTTTTCTGTATCATTGGTATTTCTGCCCCTCGGCCAAGATTGAGAACCCCGCTTTCGATTCTAGTCGCCTTCCAAACAACCCGAGACTTAGTTTAGCATCAGGGATAAGAGACTAGATAACGAGAATTATCTATGGTCTTTTATTCACCAAGTAAACTTAAGTAGGGTGCTGTCAGCACCCCCACACACCAATATTAATGCAGGCTATTTGCCTACCTCACTGGGTTGTTGTGTGGATTCCCAAGATAATGCATGTGAAGTAGCATATATTTCCGTGTATGATGATCCCATGTATAAGACGTCCCCTATTTGGGGGGACTCCAAATTAAGAAAAAACCCCTCAGCAATACCTGTGTATAAGACGAGACCCAATTTTAAACCTAATTTTTTGGTTAAAAAACCCTAGTCTTATATATGGAAAAAATACGGTACTTTGAGCATTGTAAGATGCTTGTGGAATGTTCTTTTTTAAAAAAATTATAATAAAATATATAGTGTACATAATATAATACAGCAACAGCTCATAGTCGAGAAGCGCTTACCGAAGAGATATGACAGTAAAAAGATGTATATATAACGCATTTCAAGAGTTCACTTTTCAGTTAAACCTCTGTAAACTAGCTTGATTTCTCCATATTCAATAGCTCTTTGCTGGCAAAACAGTAGTAAGAGTTGAGGAGAGCTTGGATTTGGGACGTGCAGCTCATAGCTCAAAAACTTACCTTCTCTCAAGAGGTCCTCACTGCATCCAGTAAACTTACAGTACTTGGTATTAAGAAAGGAAGGCTGTGTACACAAGACTGAAATGAGAACCACTGTAAGTCCATATGTAATGCAAAATAAAAGCCTACATTGGTCAAAGAATGTAACCACATTTCCCCCCAGCTTTTGTTCTTTATTAACAAGCAGGCATTTGCACCAACACCATGAATGTTAAAGTGAATTTATTGCGCATGCATAGTTGGCGAACACCATCCTTGCACATGTGCAATAAGACTTTTAAAGATAATTGGCATTTAAATTAAAGACACCACACAAAGCTATGATGTATACAAATTCTGGCAGTAATTCAATACTAGTACCGGTATGTTGATGTGCATATGTACAGGCAAATACACATTTTACCTAATACACTGAGAGTGATCCCCAGATGAAACTTAGCTCATGCATTTCCCTATGTAAAATAGACATGAACAGAAAAATTTCTTATTTACTGCTGTGCCTGTGCAAACCTGATAACCTGTCTGTTTTTATCATTATTTTGCACATGGGCTTCAAAGTGAAGATCGGTTCAGTTTAATGTCATTCAAAATAGAAGCTAGAATGGCACTGAATATTTTTGTGGGATGTTCTTTTTTGTACCAAAATACATTCTTTGTATCCAATATTGTGTCTGCATTCTACTTTCTTTGCCACAGCTATGAATGGAGCTGAACGATAGAAACAGTTTCCTCTGCTCTAGTGAATGTGAACATATGTCTAAAAGTAGAACTGTATAAAACATTGTCCAGTGTGATCATACTTTGAATAGAATCGACTGTTGATATACATTCTCAGATCACAATAAAGGAACAGACTACCTAGACCTCAAGCTGTCTAAAAAAACAACAGCCTAGGAAGAGAAGATGAAACTGTTGTCCAGCATCCAGAGAAGGAAGTGTTGAAATAATGTGTGACTTGAATTACCTTCTCATGATCATCCTGGGCTATTAATCTAGGGGCCTGGTATTGCTGTCCATAGTGATTTTGTTAAATTACATAATATTAATGTGCATATACAAACTGACTTTATTTTTATTCCAACCACTACCAGTTCGAAGCACTTGTCTGTGTCACACAGAATCATATTCCCTTCACACAGATCCCTAAATTATACTTACTGTATTATTATATGTATATGCACATGTATGAATAAAGATATTAAATTGGTTGTCTATAAAAGTGTGTCTATAACTGCATAGACACACTCACAATACCTGGACAACGTTTAGCACAAAATTTTACAGTCAGTTCATACCACTTGCCTAACTTTTGTCATGGCTGCTGCTTGTGAAGCACAAAAGTCTAGTCAGTGGACAAAATGCTAATCTAGATGCTTAACATGTGGTTTATGTTTTTTTTATCTTGGGCAAAACAATAAGACTACAGTCCTAAACGGAAGGTATGATCTTATGGATAAAATGTTGATTGGCATGTACAGTGGTATCTCAGGTTAAGAACTTAGTTCGTTCTGGAGGTCTGTTCTTAACCTGAAACTGTCCTTAACCTGAAGCACCACTTTAGCTAATGGGGCCTCCTGCTGCCACTGCGCCGCCGCTGCACGATTTCTGTTCTCATCCTGAAGCAAAGTTCTTAACCCAAGGTAATATTTTTGGGTTAGCGGAGTCTGTAACCTGAAGCGTATGTAACCCGAGGTACCACTGTACTGCCTGCTGCACTCAGGTCTTCCCATAGGCATCTGGTTGGCCATTGTGAGAACAGGATGTTGGACTAGGATGGGCCTTTGACTGGATCCAACAGGGCTCTTATTATGTTCTTATGCTTAACCAAGTTACAGCTTGCTCTGTCTAACTATGTGTTTCACAGTAACATTCAAACATTAGACATTGCTAGCTAGCAGATTTATTAGTGCTGTTGCCAATGCCATGTGGACATGGAGCTTTGCTAAAAGCAATTTATAGAACTAAACTCGCCCTGGAAGAGTCATGAAAATAAGATCTAGTCCCCTGCCCCACTTCATGCCAATGCATTACTAATAGTTAAGCCCTCATAATGCCATACAGCCCGCTGTCACCAAGACTTAAGTGCCACAAGTAGCACCACTGAAAACAACCTGAATTAGCAACTAAAAGCAGCACTAATAAATCCCACCCTGAAGGATTGCTCACAACACAACTAAATTAAAACAACAAGGCACTGAGCAGAAATGCCATTAAATGCTTTGGGAGATCATCAGTAGCATCTCCAGTTGCCCCCAGAAGCATAAATGGATAAAGCCCAAAGATCTGAGTGCAGACATTATATGAAGAAAGAAGACAGCTGTATTCTGCAGGGCATCTGAAACCTTTGGGTGGTTTTCCAAGGACAGCCTTTAGCATACTGCAGTGGATTTAGGGCACAGACACTTTCCATGCTATCCCCTCATCCAAGTAATAACTAATATAGTCCCTAATCTTTTCTCCAGGTTGTACACATGTATTATCTGTTTATAGCAACAGTATTTTAAAAACATGTTTAAAACCTGCCCTCATATACCATTACTTTTAGAACATTTGCCCATTCATATGCTTATAGTGGGCATCTGCACATGAAAAACATCTCTAACATGTTGGCTATTACTGATGGAATGGGGTGTGTGATTAACATATTCAGATGGGGGTGGACAAAAGGGCAAGATCATTGCCACTGAACTACCACAGGAGGGCCAGAAGGCTTTAAATAAATGGAACAATTGTCTTTAGCTAATGGCTCTGCCAGGTATTTCCAGCAGTCAGCTGTTTTGTGGCACTGCTGTCAGGCTGTCCTCTCAGATATGCTAATCAAGGGCAGCCCCCTACTCTCATGCCAGCTGTTTATGGGGGGCAATATCCAGTGCTTCCATTCTACTAGAACAAGAGACTTATGATAGAACTTTCCCCTCCTCTCCCCTGGGGCCCCTTCCCCATGTCCTCAAAATCAGCTCTGGCGGTTTGGGGGACCTTCCAGAGAAGATTGTAGCAGCTCAGGAGGGAAATACAGGAAGCAGAAGTGCTGCTGCATCAGCAGAACTCCATTGATGCTGCTTTAGATATAACCCATAGTTTTAAAGGACACATGCAACATCAAACAACACATTTAATATCACATGTAGTTTGTATTGATGCATTTGAATTATGGTGCTGGAGGAGACTCTTGAGAGTCCCATGGACTGCAAGAAGATCAAACCTATCCATTCTGAAGGAAATCAGCCCTGAGTGCTCACTGGAAGGACAGATCGTGAAGTTGAGGCTCCAATACTTTGGCCACATCATGAGAAGACTCCCTGGAAAAGACCCTGATGTTGGGAAAGATGGAGGGCACAAGGAAAAGGGGACGACAGAGGACGAGATGGTTGGACAGTGTTCTCGAAGATACAAACATGAGTTTGACCAAACTGCGGGAGGCAGTGGAAGACAGGAGTGCCTGGACTGTTCTGGTCCATGGGGTCACGAAGAGTCAGACACGACTAAACGACTAAACAACAACAACAACCCTTTTTACCATCCATCCTAATGGCAAGAATACACCACAAGTATCACACATCTAGATCTTAGCTTCATCCATTAAAAGGCTATGCATTGATGGAAATCTTTTTTCATAGATAAACTTTAGATTATTATTTGTTGTTTCCTTAAGCACATGGCTTAGAGCTCCTGCACCAGCCATGCTTCAAATTAATAGTGGCTTGAATTTTCCAATTTATATTAGGTCTTTGAGTATTTAAATATAAATACATATCTCGCTGTCATGCATTTAGAGAGTTGGAAAGTATTTAGCTGAGTAAAGTGCAGACTCCCTTCAATTCACTGTGTAAGATTTAAACACGCTATTTTTAGCTAAGGAGAAGTCATTTATTCACTGGCTAATAATTCTGCTCAGCTATTTGTTGTAAATCTGTGCTATGACATGCTATCCACACCATAAGTTTAATTCTTTTAATACTATCCCCTCTTGCCTTCAAAGCATCATTATCATCAGAGCTTGTAGAGGTGGATCCCATTTTACGCATTTGTTTGCATGCACATCAAAACTATATTGAATTCTGTTTGTGGTGATGAAGCTTGGGAGGTTGGGTGGAGTGATGGCATGGTACACTTAAGAACATCTCAGCTGCTCAGGGAAAAAAGCTGAAAGCAGCACAATATTCATAGTTCAGCTTTTGCGAGCAAAGATTGAAACCTCATAGGTCCTAAAAACAGGAAAAAACTTTTGTGGTGAACACTTAACACTCTGAGGAGGATTCAGAGGTAATGCAGAGAAATAACTAAAGTACAGATGCAAAGTGGGCAATCGACTGAAGAACAGTAACATTTGAAAAGAGAAGGAAGGAAAAAGTAAGAGGTTTAAATAAAAGGGTATAGAAGATATGGAACTGAGGTAAGAATGTGAGAGGAGGGAGTTGAAACAGCCAAACAGCACTTAAGAGAAGAGGCATCTGAGTTATCTGAGTGAAACAGGGTGACAGACAGGAGTGCTGGGAAAGCTTGGCCAAGTCCCTGAAGAATATGTAACAAAGGAGGCAGTGAACTAAGAAATTGAAACCCGATGAGAAAATGGGTGGTAGGGAGACATGGAATTGAAGAAAGAAACATTCCAGGAGGACTGGGATAAAACCTCCCATTGGGCTCAGAGTCAGGAAGGGCTGCAATGATTGGCAAGAAGGAAGTGAAGAGGCAGGACAGTTTTGTGAATGAGGGAAGTAAATGGGTATTGGGTTGCCAGGTCTAGAGCAAGAGTGGGAGAGAGGATCTGGCTGGCAGGTGAGGCTGCCCACCTGTCAATTACCTCATCTCTCCATGGTGCCAAGCGACCCTGCTTCAAAGTAAAGAACAGGGAGTGCCCTCTATCTCAGTTCTCTCTTCCTTTGCATCCCAGCCTTAGTTCAAGCTGTTACTCAAGGGGGAAATGTCAAACCCTTGAAAGTGATCAGGCTTCCCGGTAAGTGAGATGCAGTTTTTGTAAATGATGGCAGCATTCTGCCCCACCTGCTCCCCAAACATCTGCTGGTGCTGTACTGAATACCTAAGAGAGCATAGCTGGGAGAAGGTCAGTCTCACCCAGTCTCACCCTGTAATGTATGCCAGGTCATGTGGCTGATAGACCTTTAATCACCAGCAGCACCTTACGGTGAGATGGCTCATTAGTCAAAGTGTTGAGCGCAGTGTTGTAAATATTTCTTGGCAACTCATGACTTTTAGGCAATTGCTCCATTCCAGCAAAGGAGATCAAAGCATGGAAAAGGTGTTGGGGTGAACATTGCGCCCATGCTTCTTAGAGGCTTCATGTGAAAATGGCAAATTACTCCCATGCAAGTAGGAGGTTTGCTTTGCTATTCTGAAATCTGTTCAATCCTGCCAGGTTTATCATTTCTGGGCATAGACCTGAACTGGTGATTACCTTTCATTTCATCCAGCCCAGTGGTATTTTTATAGAAAAAGAGGTGGTGGAACTCATTATGAACTTACCCTTGTTCTTTTATAATGGCAATGGTGCCCATCTGAGATGTGCTGGAACTCAGTTTCTCCGAGTTCTGGCTGAAAAAACCAGACCCAACACATTAACAGGTTTTGTAGCAATGTGGCAAAAAAAAAAAAAAAAGGTGGGGTGTAAAAGCAATTTCCCAGTTTG